TGCTTGGATTTTTTGGTATTAGTCTTTTGGGGTTTGGTAATGTAATGATAGTTGTATTTGATGAGGAGGAGCCTGAGGAACCTGAGGAACCTGAGGAAGAGCCACTACTGCTGTCTTTTTTGGAGGCGTTGTCCTCTCCATTTGGGGGGATGTAACCCATGACTTGTTTCTATAAAATGTACTTAAATGATTTGTATCAATTGACAATTAATTTGCCATTAGATATTTTATAAAGTATAATAATAAAGATCTAGAAGGTTCCTTCCAATAAGGTTAAGGACAAAGCAGAAAAATATTATTCGTAGAATGTGAAGTCACGTGAGAGTTGTAATTTGAGTTGACTTGAGCCAAATCAATACTCTTCTAGAGAACACTAATTGAGTTAGAATATGAGACTCTACAATTATCATCATCTAATTGATGATAGTAGGTTGTGTTTGTTGCAAAAACAGTTCATGTGTAAAATAAAGGCCATATAGAAAATTTAAAAAAGAGAACTAACAAACATACTTTCATGATCATCAATCATACTAAAGTTATAATTACATACTAAACAACAATCAGAAAAGGACAAACTCAAATGAATGACAAATCAATTGACCATTCTTGGCTTCCTCCTTCTTTCTCTTGTTCTTTTCTCTAGTAAGAATAACATCAATTGACGACAATAACAACAAATAACTCTCTTTCTTTCATAATCTTTTTGTGAATATTAATAATAAAATGTATAAAAAAAATGAGAAACAATAAGCAACAACTTAAATCAATAATGCCTAATCAATTTATTGTTGACCAGCATATAAATCTTCTTTCAAGTCAATACCTAAAGATTGTCTAACATCTTTCAATTCTTCCAAATAAGCATCATATTGTTCCTTATTTTCAACCTTATGTTTTAAAGCTTCAAAAGTTCTAACAGCAGTTGGATAATCATTGACTCTTCTACAAGCTTCTAAAGCCTTTTCAATAACAGCTGGGGCTGGAACTAAATCATAAGAGAAACAATTGTTTAAGATTCTTTGAACTTCAAATAAATCATAAGCACCTTCAAATTCCTTTATGTATCTATAATAATTATCTGTTAGTATTCAACCTCCTATCTGATTAAAAGCCTGCCTTGGCAGAGAGAAAGAGAGAGATAGCCGTGTATAATTAAACAATCTCTCATAGTTAAATGTAATGTACATACCTTTCAGTGAATTCTTCAAAAGTTTCTTCATGATGAGAAGAATACAATCTAACTTGTTGTGGAATGATAGACATTGGTTTGAAAGCAATGGCAACTCTTGGAGCTTGAACAATTGCTCTTGATCTTAAAGCAGAACGAATAGTGGAGGAAAGCATTATTATTATATGAGATGAGTGGGGGTTGAGGGGGGTTTGGAAAATTAGTTATAAAATGTATATGTGTGGTTGTTAATTTGATTCAAACGTTAATAACAAGATGACACAAAGGAACAATATTTCTACTTCTTTTTGGTAAAATATGAAAAGTAAAATGAAAGGAGTTTGGATAAGTTGTTTAAACCTGTTGGAGTCTTAAATAAATTAAAATTGAAAAAAAGTTTTAGGAATTGTTTTTTCTGTTACAGGTTTGTTAACTATGTAGAATTCTACTAACAAATTATTCTAATTACTAAGAAAGAAATACAAACACCGAGCAAACAAACAAGTGAGAGTAAATTTGTATTACCTGAAAAATAAATTAATTAAATTGATTGGTTAAATTATAACAATTGGTTATATGCAGGATATTCCTAATCATACGATTTCTCATTTGTTAAGCTACCTTCTATTGACAATCGCATTCTTTATAAAGACACTTTCGTTTATGTATTTAATTACCCTATAATCATACATACTACCGAATATCGTCTTAGAACTAACCTATCCATACTATATATTTTTTCTCTGTTGAGGGCCCGTCTGCTTCCAATATTTATTAACCAATTAAATCTCCAAAAAAAATCCCAGATTCACGTCATGTGACCAGTCACATGATTATACCCATATTTTAAAATCTACATGTACCCTTCTTTAATATTATGCAGATACTGATCTCTTTCCAAATCTCCTTGATGAATTAGTTGCTTTAGATTTCAGATATTCTTTAGAAGCACTACTACCCCATTTCTTCTTATTGGGACTATTATTACTCTTTCTAGACAGATTATGACCAATTGTACTATTTAAATTAATTGGTTTCCAAATTGGTAATTCTTTAACATCAACTTTTAATTTTCTTGAAAATTTCCGTTCACCAGGGATTAAGTCTATTTTTAATTGAACCCATGATTTATTTCCTGTATTACTCACTTTAAGTGAATTTGATGGTTCTTTTGTAAACATATATCCATGAATATTTCGTTTATAAAAAGTAGAACAATAATCTTCCAGATATCGATTTGTCATTGATTCTGGTGCAAGTATCATATCTCGGATAAAGAAATCATGAGATTTGATATCTTGTCTGGTTGTTGCTGTTTTTTGGGGGAGATTCAATTTAACATTTACTTTATTGAATGGAATTATAGCTTCATTTTCTAATTTAGAATATGAATGATGACCAGGAGTATTATTGTGTCGTATATTCTTCTTCTTTGGTTTCTTGGTATCTACTATTATAACTTTTTTACTCTCTACTTTTGCTTTTGGAGTACTTGGAATGACCTCTTTCTTTTTCTTCGGTGGATCCGTTATTCCATTGGGTATGAACGCAGGATTATTAACCTTTTCCAGATATCTATTACCCTTTTCCCTCTTTTTCCTAGTTCTTCTCTCGATTGCATCACCATTCATTTTCTTCATCTCATTTCCATTCCCCATTGTCGCTGCGTTTTCTTCCTTTTCTACCTTTTCTTCCTCTTCTTCTTCCACAAAAAATGGCGAAAATATATGATCAGTATCCTCAAACAAACTACTCCCCAATTTCAATGTCAGCACTTGCAGTACAGACACCAGTGGTACAGAAACCTGCGGCACAGAAACAGGTTTATTATCACTCCATATCCAATTATTCACCTGTGGTTGCTGTTGTTGTCGGTCATTGTAATTCAAACTCCTAGAATTAACACTCACACTTCCTACCGTTGTTCTCGGGAAATCGAACCCTGATTGAAGTGAAAGTCGATTCATATCCTCATTCAAAGCAAAATTCAAACTTTGACTACTGGATTGTATATCCGAAATATAATGACTTACCCCTCCTCCTCCACCGAAATGATTTTCCAAAATTGGTGAAGATAAAGTATTTGGAGATGACCAATCCAAAACCAGCTGTTTTTGCCGTTGTGTCTGAGTTTGTTGTTGTTGTTTGAAATGATGACTCACAGGAGCAGGCTCGGCAAACGTTCTCATATTTTCAAAATCAAACCCATTCAATAATTGTCTTTCAAACGCTGGCACTGGTGCTATTTTGTGATGGTATTCTTCTCCATAACTACTATTAGGAGGAGACATTAGACGATGATGTGTGTGGGTATTGGTAGTGGGTTCGGAATTAATAGTCGAGGAAATTGTTGTTGTTGTGGTGGCTGTGTTGTGATTATTATTGCTTGGAGATGGGAAGAAATTTGACGTTCGTCGAGAATATGTGGTTGGATTGTTTGGATTTGAGATTGGGGTATTTAGGATTCCAAATTCTATATTCGACTGCATCATGATTTACTGTTGTTTGTTTGTAGTACGCTTGTTTTCGAGAATACAATCGGAAAAGATGGAATTTATGAATAGCCAAAAAATAATGAATTTATGTCAAGGTAGTATTATGATAGGTTGAGTTGTTGTTAGACTGTTGAAAAACAGGATATGGATAATTTGTACCAGCAACAGTGCTTGATGTTTTGAAACTTTTTCTTATGTAAAGGGGGGGGGAGGCAGAGTGAAAGTTAACTAAAATACAACAAGAAGTCAAAATTTATCAAAAAAAATTCGTTACAACTTTAAAATTCTCGTTTTAATTTCTTTTTTTTTTTGGCAGTTTTTTTCTACGAATTCTCCACAACATTTAATCAACTAATGAAGTTAAGAATGACTTATGAATATTACAAATTTGTGCATTCGCTCAAGTAGTAGAGTAAGTAAACGGTAATTGGAGAAGTTGATCAATCAAAGTAATCGGAATATACTAGACCAAGAAGGGTCCAGTCCGACGCTGCAAAGTAAAGTACCATTTGAAGAGCAAGAAAGTAGAATATTCCCAATATTACTACCCCTCTGATCCTACTGAAACCTGATATTTTTACCATAACTCGTCATTGTCTACTTCTCTATAGAGCTTAAATTAACTGTATACTTAAAATTGTTTTATTGGTTTTGCCGTTTCCAGTTGAGACTACAATATCATTTTTGTGTCAAAATAATTTGCAACCAAAAATATGTCAAAGCTATTCAACCACACAAATCATCCGTCTAATTTTTGCAATATTTCCCTGTGGCATACAATATAAAAACCATACTCTGTTAGACATCTTTTGGTTCCTGTACATGGTATTTCGCTACTAGAAATGCGATTTCCTGGGTATGTTACCGTTTTCTCATGTTCCTTCCTTCCATTATTTATGTTCCGCTATAGTTATGAATACAACTTGGTTTAATCAAGAATCTATCTTTCTAGATTTACAACCAATATTCAATTTTAACACTGGCAGGACAGAACTGTGCCATCCAATACAGTAAGAATAATTCGTAATCTTTGGAATATTGGTAGCGCTAATTAGTAACTTCGCACGACTTGTTTTATCCGCAAATTTTTCTTACTATTTTTTTCAACCATCGCCATCACATCTGCTTTGTCAGCAATTACGTAAACAAAGATTACATAAGCAACCTTATTTTGATCTTTGGCTAAAACATCTATCAAACCTTTTTTGCAACTATATATCAATCACCAAGTGGCAATATGAACAGTTCATTCGCGTCCTGGGCGAATGAGAAGGAAGACCAGAACACATCTGATCAAGTGAAATTTGATACCGCATTTAGACATGAAGCCGATGATGAAAGTTCTCATCATCATCATCAAAACCTTCATCATCACCATCATGATTTCCCAAGTGTAGAAGAAGTCACTGCGGCTGCAGTCGCAAGTGCTCGTCAACAACAACAACAGCAGCAACAACAGCAACATATCGCAAATGACCAATCAGTAGGCACACCTGGTAACAATTCAATTCATGATGAACAAGTCCGAGCTGCACATGAGGCATTAACTGGTGCAAAGAAATCAAATGAGCAAGGTGGTGGTGGCGCTCGAGGACGAAAGAAGGCAGTTCCGCCACTTTCCGTGACTAAGCGAGCTGTACAGAATAGAAACGCGCAAAGGGCATATAGAACGAGAAGAGATCAATATATTAAGGAATTAGAAGCTAAAGCGGCTGAATTAGATCATTTAAAACAAACAATTGATGAGTTGAGAAATGAGAATATTCAATTAAGAGATTATACTATTGCATTACAAAGTCGAGTTATTGAATTATCACCAACTACTCCGGCTCCAACTAATGCTCAACATCAGATGAATGCGGGTATTTCTAATGATACTTCACATCCTGGTATTCCACCTCCTCCTGCGGTTTTTAATAAGACGCAGTATCCAACTGACAAGTAAGCATGTATGTATATCCCTTTCGGATTTGGTTGTATTTGTATTTTTGTATAATAGTCCCCCTTTTGAATAATGACTTTGTAATTTTATAAATTAGTACCAACTAATGAATGTGAAAATAATTCCTTATCTTATAAGGCACTTCCACTCGATGGATTGCGCATGTAGATGCGGGCCGTAGTGGACGGATATACAAAGCGCAATAATTTTTGTCCTTTGGTGCCAGTTGCCGACAGACATACTAAAAAGCCGTTTCTCCAGCGTAATAAAACTGGAAAATTAAAGAAATATATTCGATATTCGGTGAAGAGGAAAGAGCAGTTTCTTTAACATAATCGTACATTAATAAGGCTATACATGCTTGTCTTCGCTAAGCTTTATTGCAAATCCGTGGGGAAGAAAAAGTGGAAATTATTCTTCGGGAATAAAATCTTAATTGGTGCCGTGGTTGGTCCAAATATTGGCACGGCAGTTTGATTTGGTGTGTTGCAAACCAAAAAAATCGCCGAAGTTTGAGTCATTGCGTATGAAATTTTTAATTCAACCGTTTGTCCATTGTATTAGAACAATAATTAATCATTTATGTAATAATGGTAATATTCTGGGCATTCAGATCAAATTATGCAATGTCGCTATATTCTTAATTAATTGTTAATTCTAAAGAATCCGTGTTTTCACGTTTGAAAATCTTTTTATTTCTTTCTTTGCAAGTTTGTTTCATATCATTATGAAATCCTTAATGTAGATGGATAATGATCACCTTGATGTACATCTCTTTGAGAATAACTTTATTAATCAAATGGCGTTATGGGAATTTAATAGGATTGGTATGAAATGCCTTTCAATCTCAGAAACTACTTGCTTGGCGAAGCATAACAATAAATGCCCCTCAAAGCACCACCATAACAACAATCAGCAACAACAGCAAAATCCGAAAGTTAAATTGAATCTTGATTTAAATATTATTTCATATTATGATAGATTAACTGGATTGACGACGCGAATGCCAAAATATAAGGATATCACAAATGTGGATTTTACAACTTTGACAAGTCCAGTCATTTCCAATTATACTACAGCAACTGATCCCAAGCCTGAATCCAGAGTAATAGAAACCATTGTGGAGGACAAACAAATCAAGGAAGGAATAAGTGAATCCGAGATCATTATAGAAGAGAGAGAGATTACAGAAATACTAAGTGACATGGAAAGTGATAATGAGAATAAGGATGATGAGCTTCTACCGAGAACTCAAACATTCCCAGACGAAGATAAATACAGTGATGTGGAAGAGGAGGAGGAGAATGACGTAGCTCCTGGATTATTTCCGAAGATGGACATATCTGATGATAAACAATTTATGAACTTTCAAACCCTACCTTTGACTCCGTCATATTTATGTAAGGATTGATCTTTTGGAATTTATGCTGGTCATAATTTCTCGTGAGACTATTGATAGAAGGCTATGAAAGGTTCGGGGTGATTGGTTTTTGATATTTTGGAGTTTTGTATATAATATGTAATATTGGATAGGTTTAATAAATTGGAATGTAAGTGAGTATTGGCATTACTGCTGGATAAATACTGTGTAAATTTCAGCACTAATAAAATGTATGGACTGGTAAGTAATTTTCGTACCGATGAATTTTTCACTATTTGCACCGAAAAAATTTCTAACCAATTTTACAAACTCAAGTAGAACAGTATACGAACTATTCAGGATCCATATTTGGCAATGTTGACAAGAGCTCTTACCAAAAGATTCATAAGAAGCAATAGCACCCTCGCCAGAGGCGTATGGGCTGATTTTTCGAAGAGACCAGAATCTTTAAAGATCAAGAATGATGCTCTTAAACAAGGTGTTCTTGGTAAGCACCTCGATGGACCAGCTTCATACACTAACCGTGATCGAAGAGCATACTATAAGACTCCTCTTGAACTTGATGAAACATTTGTCATGTCCTATGAAATATTGAACGAAGAGGCTGCCAATGTCTACAAAAAAGTTGAAGAATTAGAAAAGGAATTAGCTTCAACTACTGATGAAGCACAAATCAAAGAAATAAAGGATCAAATAGATAATACCTTAATTGAAGCAGAAATTCAAAACCCAGAAGTGTTATTTAATGTTGAATATTCCGATAGTGACGCTCTTGATAGATCTCACCCTGTATACAGACAGTTTTTGGAACAAAAATGGAGAGATTACGATTTGATGCTTACCATGCAAAGATTGGAACAATTACATGTTATTCCAGATACATTACCTACGGTTGATCCAAAGGTTGATGTTAAAGTCAAATTCACACATAATACTGATGAAAGATTTGTTGGTTGGATCGCCCCAGGTGAACTCTTACCTGCTAAAGCAGTTTCACAACCTCCAACCATCAGAATCCAAGAATATGAAAGAGTTGACGGACAAAACTTATATACTGTCTTGATAGTAAACCCTGATACTCCAGATTTGGAAAAAAATTCCTTTTCAACCACCCTTCACTATGGATTAGTTAATTATCCATTAGATAATGTCAATAATACTATTCATCCAGCTAAAGTATTGGAAAATGAAGAACAACATGTTATTAAAGATTATGTTCCATTAGTACCTGAAAAGAATGCTGAAAAGCAAAGAGCATGTCTTTGGGTATTTAGACAATCTAAACAATTGGAAGTCAATGCTGTTGCAGCTGAAAAGTTCGATATCAGAAGTTTTGTTCAAGCTAATGATTTATTACCTGTTGGTGGTTATGTATGGAGACAAAAGTTTGATAGAAGTGTTAATGAAGTTAGAGATGCATATGGTTTAGGAAGAGGTAGAGTTTTCCATAGAGTCAGAGGAAGAGATCCACTTGTTGAATAGAAGCATTTGAAACTTTATAGTTTGTAGATAGTCTTGTCATGTAAATATACGAACAATGTAATTAGTTTTGATCTGTAGAGAGATATGGCAATAACCTTTTATTGAAACAGAGAAAGGGAAGAGGCATTTGGAGTTACCATCTCTTTCATTTGCTTAATTCTCTCTCTTTAGTACTAAACCCTTTGTTGCAAAAAAAAACATATCTGCCTCAGGGTGTGTTGTAAAAAAAAAATACCGAAGATAGACACAATTCAGGAAAGAGATAAACAACGGTGATTTAATATATCCAATCAAATAAGGAAGAAAGAATGAAGAGATAAGATGGCTACTTCTATTGAGTTGGATAAGAAACGAAAAGATTTATATGAATTAAATACCAAAGCATGGAATGGTGAACATACTTTTAAAACAGTTTCCAAATTAGATTCATCCTTAAAGAAAAATACTGCGTTCATTAAAAAGATTAAAATTGTTAATGCTGATCAATGTAAATCAATCCTAAAAGATATAGAAACACTTTCTATTGAAAGGTACCTTTCTGAAGTGATTGTTTCCTTAACTGAAGCTTTATGTAAAGTCTCAAAAAATGATGATATTTTAGCTGCTATGGATATTGTATCTGCATTACATCAAAGATTTACTTCGGAATTTTCACCTTATTTAATGGTTCATATTTTGACATGTATGGCAAATCCTATGAGACAGACTGGCAATGATATTGATGAAAAGGAAGAAAATAGCAGAGTTATTAGGCAAAGAAATTCATTGAGACTTGTGATGGAATTTTATTTGATTGGCATATTTCGTAACTTGAGAGATTGTAATAAAGATATGGTTCCTGATGAAATTTTGATGAAGTTTGGAAAATCTGCATCTGAACCAATTATAATCGTTGTCATCAAAGATTTGTTAAATTTTGAACTCAAGCTGGGTAATTCATTAAGCATTGTACAACCATTCTTGAAAAGATTTTATGAAGCCATATACAAGGAGAATGATTTACTAACATTTGAAGTGAGGAATGTCTTGCAACAAATATTTAATATTTATTCTAATGCTACCATTGAGAATGCGTCAACTTTGAAAAAGAGAGTACAAAGGGTTACTAGTCAAAATAAAAAAGCGGCAATTCGAACTGGGAGGATTTTGGAAGAAATCCAATCTGAATTAGATGCATTAACCTCTCTTTTTGAAAAGTTTAAGGCAGCGTCAGAGTTCCTTGCAGATATTCTTGAAATTCCATTACCAAATTTAAACTTGGAAGATGAAGAAAAATTAGAATCTGATTCGGTCGTGGAAGTGGTTAAAGCAAAATCTTTGAATGAAGATGATTTCCAAGGTGTATGGGAAGATATCAAAGAGAAGAATTTCTATACTATTGTTCCATCTTTAGGTGAATTAATCGGATCCCAACAAGTTATTGATAGACCCGATTACACTTCAAAAGATGGTGAAAAGATCCAAGACTTTTTGAATAGATTAGAAGATGTTGGGTCTAATGATATGGAGCAACTAGTCGTAGAATTCAATAATTTAAATCTTAATAACAAAGCCACCAAGAATAGACTTATGAAATTTTTCATTGAAACTTCCAATGTGAACAATTTGAAATATTACACGAGATTTTTGAAAATCAATGAAATAAACTTAACTGAGCTAATTACTGAATTGATTACGTATTTGGATAAAGGTTTCAGACATCAACTTTATCAAAATAAATTGAATTTTAAAAATATCTTGTTTTTTGTCGAAATGATTAAATTCAAAATGATTCCAATACATATGATTTTTCATAAAATCAGAACTTTGACGATGAATATCACTTTGACAAATAATATCGATATCTTAGCTGTGTTTTATGAACACGTCGGTAGATTCTTATTACATGAACCAGAATATAAAGATTTAATGCAAGAAATGATCAATTTGTTAAGAGAAAAACTGAAACAATCAAACTTGACAATTAATCAAAAGTTAGCCATTAACAATTTGTTATTGATTGTCAATCCTCCAGCTACGAAAGTCCAAGTATTGAGAGAGCGTGAGAAGTTAAGTCCAAAACAACAATTTATTCAAAGATTAATTAGAGTGGAATTAGATTCAACTTCTCTCCCTGTCGTTTTAAACCTTTTAGGAGAAATTCCATTAAAATTTGATGAAGAATGCTGTGATACTATTTTAGATTGTTTTGCAAATCCAGAATTATTGAACTATGATAATATTCCTGCATTGGCAAAAGTCTTACTGATGTATTCCGATAAATATAAGCGAATTGTTGTATTTACAGTAGATACTATTATTGAAAAGATTGTCAGAGGTTTAGAACTCAATGACTATAGGATGAATAGGGCTAGAATGTCTCATGTTAAATTCATAGCAGAATTATATAATGCTAAAGTTATCAATTTCAAATTAATCAATGATTTACTTTACAAATTGCTTTGCTATGGCCATCCTAACAATCAACCACTTCCTAACAATTGGGAAGTTGAAATTGATTTGCCCGATAATTATTTTAGGATTCAATTATGTTGCTTGTTGTTGACTTCCTTGACATCCATTTTTGTGGATACTGATCTCCCATCCAGAAGGAAAGCACCAACTCGTGCGGTTGATTTAAAGAAGAGAAATGATATTAATAAAGAATTGTTAGGTGTATTTACTACTTTCTTGCAATATTATTTGTTTTGTAAAGAAAAACCACTCCCTATTGATATTCAATTCAAATTGGATGATTTGTTTACGAAATATAAAAGTATTCCAACGGTTAAGAGATATGATACTATTCGTGAAGTAATCCAAAAACTTCAAGAGCTGATCCAAACAAAACAAGAAATCGAAAAGCAATTGCTTGACGATGATGATGATGAAAACTTTGTCCCTGAAGATGAAGCTGATGGTGAGACCTTTGCCATTGCTGATGAGGATGAAGAAGATGACGATGCTGATGAAGATGAAGAGGAAAGTGATGTTGATGCTGATGAAGATGAAGACGAGGATACTGATGGAGAATCCGAAATTCCTGAGGCTGAAAGAATTCGTCTTGATACAGAAAAGAAATTCAATGACGATCTTGAAAAAGAATTGCAAAAGATTATGATTGATTCCTATAATTCTTCGTCTAATGAAAGAGCAAAACCACTGAGGAGCAAGTTTAACATGCCTTTACCTCAGCAAGTCGCCAAGACCTTACCGTTGGAACCGCCTCGTTCTACTGCTTCTAAAGTTTCGTTTGGTTTATTGACTAGAAGTGGAAAGAATACAGATGTTCGTCAATTAAACCTCCCAAGTACTAACAAATTTGCTGAATCAGTATTGAAAGAAAAGCGAGATCAAATTAGGGACAGAGAAAATATCATGCGGTTAGTTCTGCGGATGGAAGATTAGTTGTGTCTATTATTGTTGTCTATCCTGAACTATTTAATCTTTCGGAAAGTTCCATTGCTATATGAAAATCATTATGTTCCAATGCATCGTCTATTTGAATTTTGCATTTGGGGCAGACTTTTGATTCAAGTAGAATTTCCATGAAACTGGGTTTATTCTTTTTTTGCAAGGTTTGGAAGATATCCATTTTAGGTCTCTTGCGTTTTGCCAAATTATTTTCAACTACTTCCAGGATGGCTTCTTCGGATTTCTTCTCAATCGAAGCCAGAGAATGGTAGTCATCAAATTGCTTTCGAATACGTTTGTAATTGTCATTGGTTGGCCTCTGGGAAACAATGGGTTTTGTTGCTTGGGTTGGTTCAGGTTCTATATAAGAAGATTCAAAGTCTTTGAACATCTTTGCTATATGTTCCTTGTCTTCTTTAGATATAACTTTATTAGTCTGAGGCCGCGGAGGTGTTGCTTCTTTTTTTAATTTCATTAGTTCATTTATCTCTTTTAATTCTCGAGTGATTTTATTCATCTTATTTTCTGTATTTTCGGATGCATAAGTCTCAATGAGAGCAGTGTCATTAAGGGTTACAAAGTTTGAAATTGACAATGACATATTTCTAATGGGGACAATCTTAACTTGGAATGGATCCATTTTGAAAAGTTCTTTGGGTCTTTTATCTCCATTCATTCTGCTTAGGTTTGTACTTACTTCCAAATAGTCACGGATTAGGTTATATCCACCCTCTTCTATTACATCCCTCATCTTGTCAAAATCACGGTAAAATGGAATCGGGGTTTGTCGTGTAATTCTCAGGCCAGAAACTCCATATATTCCAATTGTAAGCGTTTTGGGTCTTTTAACATATCCTTTTTGTTTCTTCGATAACTTGCTCATGGATAATTCCAAATTTTCATTATCTAAATCTATTAATCTGTTGTATAAATCTCCTGCAAATACTTTAAGCCATCCATAAGCTTGTCCTAAAGTTGCAACTGGTTTCTGAGGAAGGAAATTCTTGTTTGATGCCATAGATTTTAGATCTGATTTGTTGCTGATTTCCAGCGAATGCAATCCTCGAACCATATTGTAAAGCTTCACTGCGAGTTCTTGGTCATCTTTAAGCTCTTCCTTAACCTGTTCTAGATTGTAATTCTCTCTTATGAATGCAATTGAATTCTTATCTGGAGGAACATCAAACCGTTGAATCAATGTATCACCCAATTTTCCTCCCATTCCGGATATATCATTCAATTGAAAATTCGTAAGGAATCGATCAATTGCGACATTTCTGATTATTGTTTGATCATCTGGCTTCTTAAACCCGCCTGCTAATTTTGCCATAAGTTTGTTTCTTGCTAGTCCTGCTGAAGTAGTGTATCCCAACTCGTCATATATTGCTTGTCGAAGATCTAGAAGTATCTGAGACCCAATAACGAGACAAACATCGTCCCAATCTTCAATAACCGGTTCTGCCCGCTTCTCTTGTGCGTTCTCGTCAATTGATATCTCCTTCTCACTGAGTATCACGTCTCCCTCCCATTGTATCTCCTTTGGGAGTAAGTTCGGTATTGGTGGAAGATAATCTGTAGGGTCATCATATGACGTAAGCTCAGGGAAATACTTCATTAATCTCTCATATACATCCCTGCCAAAATCTATATAACTTTCGTCAACACTTGCTTTCTCGACAAGATCAAATCGTTCTTGAATCACTCGTAAAATCTTCCGACTTTCTCGTCTATATGGATCAAGTGACACTTTATGGGTCGCCGCATCTGGCATACCAGGTAAATAAGCCCAATGACTTTCTCCTCTTTTAAACACTGCGGCATGGGCAACTATCAAATTCGGACACTTCTCCCTAGCTGATTTTATACTATCAAGTCTCCCAATTCCATATTTTCTTGCTGCGTAGCTAACTGCGATTAATGATGACCATTGGGCACATACCACAGGGTCTTTATCTGTGAGGTTTAGTCGTATTTGTTCAACTTGTGCAAAAAAGGCATTCAAGTCCACAAGAGCGATTGTTGATAAGGGCAGGAGGTATGCTTTGGTAGGGTTGTTTAAGTCTAATAAATTCTGAAATGTGAACCGCGAGGGTTTTGCGTTTGTTTTCAAACTTGAGATAGGGGACGCGTCTTTTCGTAGTTTCACTGACATTTCGCTATAGATGGAAAGGTGAAACAGTATATCTCAATATATTTTGATTAAATGATATATTTATGTCTGTTTGATGTTTGTTCATCAAATGAGAATCTTACCAGAAATATAATTTAATCATCACCGAAAATTTCTGGAGTCAGAGCTGAAGCGCGATTATGGCATTTTTTTGCCCTGGCTCGTTTTTGTGTAACTTTTCGATTAATGAATTGCTGGATAAGAAGAATATTGCTCTACGGCTTTGACTATGAGATTTATAGGCTGTTACTGTATTAAAATCTAAAACAAATATCTATAAGTATCATGTATAAATTAACCAACCCAAAATTATTAGGCAATAACAATTGACACAATCGCACCTAAAAGACTAAGCAAGGTAGGTGTGACTGCTTCTCCAGGATCTGCGAATGATTTTGGATCCATAGTAGGATTATATTCTTCTGATTGGGCACTATTAATTTCTCCATTGTCCTGTAATCCTAAGTTACTGTCACAATTTTCAGAAGGTTTTATTTTACAAAATATTGTGCTTGGTCGGTCTCAGAAGTATGTTGATCGATTGCAAACATTTGGGTGACCTTGTCTGTATAAATGAGATACCCAAAGTAGTACAAACCTATAAGTACTCCCGAATTGTATTGTCATGTAACCGGCAATTAGCTAAGTAGTATGACAAGTTATCAATGAGTCGGAAATCTAATGTGTGTGTAAATAGATTCAGGCGAGATATAAGCTCTTTTTTTGGGTGAGTAACATCGGTGAAACATATATGAACATTCTCTCTGGAGTACACCTGATGTTATATGACCTTCACCGGGAGCTCTGCTTGTTCAAATGTATGCTTGATAAAAGCGTGATACAGCCTCTTCATAAGCTTGATTTAAATCACGCTGGACACTACGTTTATCATCTGGAGAAAACGGTCGAAGGAAATGCAACTGGGCTTCGAATAAGATGATCAGATTTGCTTAGGAAATGATCTTTAAAATTAAAACGACTATCAGATTCTAAGTAGAATAGAGAACCTGAATAGTAATTAAATGTATTTGTAAAAATACTGCAAAATTCCAATTTGCAATTTTTTGCAGCCATTTTTCTTTAATTTGTAGCAGAAAATTAGCTGGACGTTTTACAAACTTCAAAATACCCCAATCAAAATTTTTTTCATATACAATACTGATTATGCACTCTATCTTTTCGTTATAGATAAAGGCTTCTATCAAAGATATATAAATCGACAACACCATAACTATAACGCTCTCACCTTAAAAGACAGTCGCGAAATACCGGACGACAGAAATCACACGAAAATCACGTTTTTCGACGTTTCTTTTTTTCGAAGCACGTGACAAAATTTCCTCTTTTGAAAAATTGGCTCGTATGGCGCAGTGGTAGCGCAGCAGATTGCAAATCTGTTGGTCCTTAGTTCGATCCTGAGTGCGAGCTGATTGCTTTTTTTAGTATTGCAATCAATTTTTTGCAATTATGATTATTGTACAAGATGTTTCGATTTTGCTATATATAATATCTAGATTTTCTAAGAATGTTGATTCTTTCCATATTTACATTTCATATTTTTCAAAATAAAATTGGTATTCATGTTCTTTCGACCATTCCTTTGCATCGGCAATCAAAGTATCTGGACCGCAAGCAATTACCCAACTATTCCTCTTATCCTCCACTAATGTTGGGTCCTCAATTGCAAAGACTTCGTCAAGTTTAGGTCTTCCAACATGGAATGTGGTGGATGCAGATTTCTCAACAGTAGGGGGTTCATTGTTGTCATCATTTTTTAATTCTTGGAGTTCGATTCCGTCTTCTCCATCTTGTAATAATCCTTGCGTATGCTCGTCATCCACCACTTGTTCAATTGGTTCAAAACTAGAATTTGACGGCGTGGATGGTGATGACGATACCGGAGAGTCTTGTCCAATAGTAGATGTTATGAAGACTTGAATACCTTCTATATCCAATTGATGTATTATAAACGTATCAACTTTATTTCTAATGCACCAAACTAACTTGACGGTTGCGTTTGGGTTGCAAACTTTAAAATATCTATAGATTGGTAATGCAAAGGAAATACCAGATCCACCACATACGATATTCACTAGTTTTGCGCTATTGAAGAATGGGGATGGTAATGCGGGATAAGGTCCTGTCAAAAGATATGATTGCATCGGATCAAAAACAAAGGATGTTTTCTTTACAATTAGGATGAGATTATTATTATCATCTGAAATATTGGCGAGTGTGAAAGGATGAGTTGCATTTGTCCAAGATCTTATATTCAGCATGGAATAATTCAATCTAATATGTGATGCAGGTAACCAACTTTTAAAATTATCTGGTTGATTGATTTTAACTATTCTCAATGTTGAAGTTGGTTTTTCAATAACTTTCAAAGTATCCACTTTATAAGAAGCATAATATCTAAGATATAATTGATAACAAAGCAATGCCATATTCACAAATGCAAAGATAGTAACTCCAGGACGAGCATGTAAGGCGATCAATAAAACCATACTCCAAGCGGTGATGTTATGAAGAACATAAAACAAAACATAATTTCTCCTTCTCATTGACCTAATTGATAAAACAATCAAGATTGCAAACAATATAAACACAATCACTCCTAAAAGATTTAGTATTTCGAATGGTTTGGATAAAATGGTTCCCTCTGTAATCCATTTATAGAAATATCCGACTGAATGAATAGCAACACAGAATGCAATTAATCGAGATATCCATTTATGTAAATTCAAGTTTTCAATATAATATCCAATTTTCCATAATCTAACATCTGTAGGTCTTAAGATTAAAAAGATATTTAATGGAATTAAACAATATGCGATTCTTCCGAATCTTTTGGCAGATACAATATATTCTTCTGAAAAATCATCTATATGGAACCCACCAACAAAGAATATGATTAAAAACCAAACCGAGACGATTAACCAGGTTGGAATAGAACTATATCGTCTTAATAATCTACTATGAGTACCGGTAGAAATCCAACGTTTCACATATACATACTTCAATATTGTTCTATAAAATATATGAACTAAACTTAAACCAAATATGAAATATCCATATTTAACATTAATGTAATGATGATCTCCATGTCTTGGCTGTAATCTATTGACGTCATTTAACATGTGAATATTATTATCATTCATGTTTCAGATATACTTCTCCTCCAAATAGTTCTTGTATATAACCCACTAGGAGATTACACATAAGAAATAATAATAAAAGTTATAATTTAAACTATTCGGGTAAAAATTCTTCCTATTCGTGTACTTTGCACAAAATATCAAAATTAAAATTAAACTATCACAATGTACTATATGCAGTATGAAACTTATAATTGAAATTTGACGTTTAAATTTATGACGTAAAGGGTCCCCCCCTCCCCCAAAGTGTCGTCACCTCTTTTTTTTTGACTTATAAATAATTCACAAGTGGAGTTATTGCCATATGATGAACAGGGATAATAACCTGAAATAGATTGGTACAAGGTTGAGTAGATCCATTGAAAAATAATGATGAATCACCACCCTTCAATAATATAATGATCTAAACAATTAAGAGATCAAAGACGTCACATGCCCATTCTCTCTAATAGATTTTGAATTTTTCAATACACGCTGTAGTGTTTCATTGAGAAATGTTAACTTATGAATTTGCAAGGTACACTCCCTCCACCATCGCATTACTTGAAAATTTTCCGGCACATGCAACATAATCTAGTACATGATCTCTCACATAAAAAAATTAATTTAATTCCTCACATGACAAAGACACGGCTGGGTATCTAATATTGGATCGACCTTTTATCCAACCCCCCCCTGTCGAAGTTGATTGCCAAACGGTTATGATGCTCATAGGCTCCTTACGTCATGACAGGTGACGTCAAAGCAATAATTGACGATACCCATCTCGTTAAAATGCAAGTAGTCGACGTTTGCTGTTTAAGCGAACTCATAAATATAGAAAGAAACCAAAAAAACTTCGTTTTACCAATGAAACGATAAAACGGTAAATTCATGATCCGTTTTCCTTTTTTTCATGTTGTATTTGGAGGAAAGGGGGGAGAGTATGTGGAAAATAATTTTTGAATAATCTATGTGTATACGCAGATTTTGAGATATCATATCGGGAAAATTATTGCGAGGGAATTTGAAAACACCTCACATTAATATGCTTGGCTCTACACAAGATGGAAGGAAAGTTTGACAGGTTTTGTAGCACAGCCGGGGTAGGAACTTATTCTACCGTGGGGGGAGACTAGTAGTTTGTGCATTGGTTTATTCTTATGTTCTACTGTTAAACCTAAACCTATCTCTCCCAGTGGTACGATTCTGGTTTTCTTTTTGTTAGCCCGGTCAGATTAGGAAGTTGGGGAGCAAAAAGGTTGAACAGGGAATGACCGATAGTATGGGGGCTCAAAAACTGCATATAAAATCCAATTAAGGGGGGGATTTTTTAGAAATATTATTTAACAGTTTTTTTTAGCCCTGTTCAAGAGATTAGGTAAGAATTATTTTTTAACAATATGCAGGGTGTAATGCAAAATTAATATGTATAAAATGTCATAAATGACTTTGTGTAACAGATTTTAACTCAATCTGCATAAACATTATGAGAAAATAGAATAAATAAAATATTTTTTATTTTCAAGTTACATCATGATAAAGTTAGAAAATAATTAATCTTGAATGCCACAGGTTAATAGAAAATACTAGAATAATAAAATACGGATTAAATATATAAATATCCCTTCAATTGTTTCTCAAATCTTTCCAAAATACCGACTCTTATCTTATTTCTTTTCTTACATACTTTAACCCATATATATTGGATTGGAATAACAAACGATATATATTTGGAATTCTTATTTAAAATATTAAAATCATGGCATATTCATTAGAAAGTAGTAAGTGGAAAGCTTATCAATTTAGTGACCCATTAGCCGTGGGTTCCTTTTATGTTTGTAATAAATCAACTCAAGTATTTTGTCGTCCTGATTGTGATGCACAACCAATTATTAATTTACAACTGGAAATTCAATTTGTAACAGACCCAAATACAGCTCTTGAATTAGGATATCAACCTTGTGAATCTTGTGATCCTTTACATTGTTCAATTATTGATGTTGACTTGTTGATCAAGTGTATTTGTACGGTAAACCATCAAATTGGATTCATTTCTCCATTGCTAGATGAAGATGAAGAATATAATACTAAGAAAATCAAGGAGAATATCTTGGAAACTAAGAGAGCTAATGAACAACAGATTATAAAGACAATTAATAATGTCATTGCCCATGACGGTAGAGTTCAACATAGATATTCATTACCTATAATAAATGCCCCGGGCACCAAAGGTTCTAAAGATATGAACCCTTCTAATACAACAATATCAAAGAATGACTCCGATCATTATAGGTTGGTTGATTTAGCTTGTCGTCATTTGGCTTTAGCTGCTGCGCTTAGTGTTTTTCAACCCCATTTAAAACCTCTTCCTCAGGAAGAAATGGATGATGATAATCAAGACAATAGTAAGAAGAGAAAGAGAAGAAGAAGAAGAGGTGGTGTATTAGGATTCAAAGAATTAGCCGCCAAATCAAAATTAAGTGCTTGGCATTTCCATAGAGTCTTTAAATCAGTTACTGGCTTAACTCCAAAGACATATGGAGATAAATGTTGGGAATTCTTTAAGAGAGTTGAAAGAACTGGTGAATATACTTCATTCCAAGATAATGGTTCTGCTTATAGCGTTTCTCCTCAACCTTACCAATCACCTCCTTTATCTACTAGAAGTGATAAACCACCTTCAAAAAAGAGAATTAAATTGGAAAATAATAGCAATCAAACGGTTTTCAAGACAAATTTATTTAGCGGTGATTATACTCAAATTCAACCACATCAAAATATATCTTTGAATGATACTATTATAACACCTCCAAATGAAGTTCAATACACCATATCTCCAAGACAACAACAACAACAGCAACAACAACAACATTCAGCACAAATTTCCTCCATCAATACAACCAATACTTCTTCATATTCAGATTTCCTGCAAGCTTTATATCCAAATGATATTCTCGAAGAACAACTGCAAGCATTATCAACCACTGATGGTAGTTTATTCCATCCTCGCGCATTTTCAGCACCAAATTTATCAAGATTAAATAGTTCGACATTATTCGGTCTTGCAGCTGGTTATTCCGAAAGTCAAATTTTCGGTACTTCTTCCCAGCCACAATTGCAACCACAAGCTCAGCCACAACATCCACATCAAAATGAGGTTTTGCAAATTCCAAATCAAGCTACATTTGATTTTGGTAATGAAGTTTCACTTCCGGAATTAGTTAGTACAGCAGATAGTTTGAATAGTGATTTTGGTTTATTACAATCAACAGAACAAACTACTATGGATGGGAATATATTTATGGGAGCTCCAAATGGATTGATGAATGATACTGTGGTTACTAATATTGGGAGTCTTATGGCCGATGAACAACAACAACAACAGCAACAACAGCAACAACAATTACAACATGAGCTTTTTGCTACTGAACCAAAGTACAATCCACAGTTGTTAGCTAGCGGGTTATAGGTGTATTATTAGAGAATCCATATACATTCCTTTGGATTGAATTTTTTAATGTTTATTGCGCATTCTTGGAACCCTTCTTGTTATTTGGGTTCCTTACAATCGCTTAGAAACGGGTATCACTATATGTTATTATTACTATTATTATTTGGGTTTTTTCGGGTTAGGACGCTTGTGTTTTATATAGACAGTTTTCTTTTTATATATTTATTGTTTTATTTAACAAAACAGAATATCAATAAAGTATTTGCTACTGTAGATTTATTAGGAAACAGCTCTGAAATTTTGGTGGTTAGAGAGATAATTGCAACTGTGGCCGCAAAAATACTGAGAGAGTAGAATATTTTTTCACAGCGAAATTTAGTGCGTTTGCCGAACGTTTTTTTTTCTCATTAGTGAGCTGAAATCGGTGTTAAACTAAAATTTTTTATACGAATCGATTGCTACTTAGTAAGCTCAAGTAGAATGTTATCTTTCTCGATCAAGAATCTCAAACCATCCACATTTACTTTCCTTTCTGTTCTATCTTTCAAGGAAACTTTTTGAGATCCCCCCAAAGAGACCCTTGATTACAATCAACTGTACATGTGGGTATGCAGAGCGGTAATTTTATTTAATCTGTAAAAGAACTAAAATCCTGATTGAATGGGTTTGTGTAATATTTCACAAAACTGGGAATCCCGTTTCATATAATAAAACAATAAAGAAGGATACATCGGTACCTTAAAAATAATAAATCTAATTTAATGTTAAAAAAATATGACTGCATAATAAAAATAATCAGTTTTTGAGGCGGACCTACATGTAAAATTCCGAATGCGCTTATACTCCCTATCAGAAAAAAAAACCATACATGTACACCGTAATTACAAACTCTTTATTCCGCGGATGGTACTGATTCAGGAGATCAGATAAAGAAGATAGTAAACCGTAGTTCGTATCGAATATATTCCAGATCCATGGCTTTTGTTTTGTGGATAGACCTGTTCTAGTTCGTTATCTTTGAGGCTGGGTCGTTTTAAAACAGATATTTCTTTCTCCTATCTCGAGCCACATCGAACACATAGAACTTTTTTTTAGAAATTGAATGACGAGGCATTTTGGTGCCCCCGGATAAGAGCTAATCCATACTATAATTATTTATTATTATTATGGAACCTCCACTTCACTTGTATAATAAACCCCCCTTACTTTTCTATTTAAAAACCAGCCAATTGTGTTACACAAAACTGCTGAAATATTCGGAGTAATTGGAATTATATGCAAGATGATGTTGTGAATATAAGTAATCCGGCAGAACAACGATTTCAACCATAATTGAAAAAAAAACATTGAATACAATTCGTTAATAAATGTCCTTTTCATTTACACTAATTAATTAACACTAAATAAAAATAAAAAACTAAAATTACATGAATAAATAATAACCTGACAAAATAAATCGTTCATTCATTTCGTACTTTTCCTTTCTTTCTTTCCCTGTGGTATGATTCCTTTCCTTTCCTTCTCTCTTTATTTTTCTTCCAGATAAATCATACGATTAATAATAATCTCTCTCTCTCTTCTACTACTCTAATAAACTCAAAACCAATTTGGATAATTTATCATGAAATTCCTTCCCATTACTCCTTTTCTTATCCTGATATAATTGTTGTTGAATTGTAAACAATTGATTAATATCATCCAAAGTAACTTCAATCCGATTAATCAAATCCCGGTCTCCAAGATTCTTGGATGGTGTATAAATCTTTCTAATCTTCGTTTTATAACTCTTATTCAACCCCGCCGCAGCAGCTGCAGCAGAAGCAGTTGCAGTAGAAGCAGAATTTCTCCGACTGGTACTACCACCACCGCCACCACCATTCATACTAGTATTATTTTCAAAATAATTCCCAGCCATTGGAGCTTCATTAGGCGATTGTATATTAGTATTCTGAAGATTCATTTCAATTAATTTAATTTCTCGTGCTCTTAAACTAATGAAAATCGTCCTAGTGGTGATACTTTCATATTTACAATTATTTTGATAAAATAATAAATCATTTCTCATTGTACTCATTACTTGTTGTTCTAATTTTGGATTCAAGGGACAGGATTGGATACTAAATTCAGGTCTAAACTCATCCGAGAATGCTACCGAAGATAATAATGGTTTATGTTTAAATACAATCCCTTCTTCTTCTTCTTCACCCGCATCGGTTGACTTATCTACATCAACCAGATTATGCCTGGTGTATGTTTCCAAACAAGTCTTAATCTTTCTAAACCTTGGTTTTTGATTCATAATCGCCTGACATTTCATCCGAATAGCATGTTGATTATGTTCATCCACATTCTTGATCATATTATCATTAATCAACGGAGTAAACACACTAGTCTTTGTTCTCTTAATTTCCAACGATTTATGAATTGTAGCAGGTGTACTAACTGGAGTTGCTGTACCAGTTGGAGAGGCAACATTGCTAGGGCTTGCATTTGATCTAGTATGATCGCTCAATGTATCATCGACTAAATCTTCTTCATCCATTACATTCATCAAACTATTCATATTATACATATCATAAATCGATTGAGTTCTTGATAATTTCGTTGGAGTCATTGGGATAGGATGGGAAGAATTATTATTCATATTATTATTCGAGTTTATATTGATTGGTTTTGAACTTGAATGCCAATTAAATTCATCAATTTCAACTGCTGGAGATGGAGATCTTAAGGACTGCATTGAATTCCGTTTTGATAAACTTCCAAATTGTGTTGATTCTGAACAATAATTATTACTACTACTATTCACAGCATCAAAATATCCATTTGCATTTCCAAGATTGATATTATTTGGAGTATGCATACCTGTGGTTGGATTACTGGCATTGGGGAAATGTGAACTTATACTTCCAATTTGATTCTTCCATTTTTCCATAAATGATCCACCTAATTTCGATAATGAATAATTGGATTGTAATGATGAAGAATATGATGAATTCAAAGATGATGATAAATATGATACTGAAGATGGCTTGGACATAGAAGCATGGGTATGGGCAGTTGAAGTAGTAGCTGTGGTTGATACAATCGGGATACTCATACTTGCACTTTCAACCCTTGATTTATTTGTAGTTGGGGTAGATGCACTTGACTTATTCGGTATATCCCATTTAATAGATGGTGTTGATCTTGCTAATGAATTATCTGAAGACGATATAGGCGAACTACTACCTCCTTCAAAGGTAGCTTTCCCTACTTTGATTGGAATTGGTAAGATACCATTCGCAGTTGTACTTATAATTGGAGAAAGTGATTTCTCTCTTGATGCGACCAAATCCGCACTACCAGTTGCAGCAGCTGCCGATTCCACCACTTCTTCTTCTCCTTTGTACATCTTGGCTGTGGCCGTACCATTTGTTTCATCTCCATAATTACTTTCAGTAGCACAAGCTTCTATAAATGGTGACATTTCAATTTTTCTTCCTATTGGAATGATAGCATTCAAAATAAAAATTAATTTTTTTGCAACCACAGGATTACCAGTCATTACAACCACTCTTGTAACTTCACGAGTATTAGAATTAACATTTGCATAAGGTTTATCACTAACCAGATGTCTGTAGGGTATTAATAATGCTAATAAACTTGAAAGAAAAGTGTTTGCATTTGGATTAACGTATTCTTGTAATGAATTTTGATGAAATGATGAATTATAATTATAATTTGAAAAATGGGGTAATGGAACAGTCATTGGTTTACCATCTTTAAATTCTAACCAGTTTAGTACTTCTAATACCCAATTGATCAACATTGGATTATATTTAGAATCATTTAACATTGAGGATCGTATTAAATAATTTGAATTTATCAATTTTGGAAGGTTATAATTATAATGAATCAATTTTATAAGTTTATTTAATTGTGAATTTATATCAAAATCTCCATGTAAAATATAATTTGGAAATTGAATTCTTTTATTAATTAAATATTGACAACTTGTTATTTGATGACTATCATTATCATAATTAAATCCCAGATTTAATAAAATCATCAATTTTTTATAAACTAATTTCTGTAAAATAACCAAATAATGGGATAATTCATTCCAATTATTAAAAATCACATCACTGACACAATTCATTGATTCTAAGGAAACAACAATACCAATAGCAAATCTACTATTAACATTATTTGTTGATTTTGGATTGCTGTGATCTCCATTATTAGTTAAAGTATCTTGAGAAGCTGTTTTAAATGGATATTTCATAATATTTGATTCTTTCAAAGCAATACCTGGTGTCGGTATCCAATCATTTGATTTACTTGCAAATGTAGATAAGGGAGTTCTTTCAGATACTTCCAAGTCACTAATTGAAAATAATCTAGTAATCAATACTGAACTATATTGTCCACATGCAGAATTTGCAACCGGAGGTAAAATATGAATCTTGGTAGTACTATGAGTTTCATTTGAAGGTAATCCACAACCAAACATATAATCATTTAAATCAGATATATTATGATACATTTTTGAAGTTGATATATTTTTGGTATTTAAATTCTTTTTAGAAATTGTGGAAGTTGTTGATGGATTTGAAGGTGAATAAGTTTCCGTTGCTGAATCATATAAAACTTGTTTTGAACGTAAATTTCCTCCATCTTGAGATATTATTATTCGAAAGTATTTTGTATTGAATTGATAACATTTAAGTTGATTTGAATTATGAGTTCCATATAATATTTCTCTTGAATATGAATCTTCATAACTTGTTGGACTTAATAATGGAGGAGGTATTGAAAGCGGATTTATATTATTTGGTAAGGTTGTAGGTGGAGGTTGGTTGTGATGATGGTGGTGACTGTGATGATGACTGTGATGCTGACTATGGGGTTGATAATGGGTACTTATATTGGTTGGATTCTGTTTAAATAGTCTTCCCAACATCTTGAACTTGTCTTCTTCTTCTTTCTCTCTCTCTTATTCTCTTACTCTTCTCTCTTTCTTAAACTTTGTTAGATATGTGTTTAATATATATTAGTTACTGTTGTAGTTGTTGTGGTTCTCTATTGACAGCTTTGATAAAATACGGTAATGTGTTTTGGTAGCTTAATAGGTATTAACGAAACACATCGTATAAAAGTAAACTAAGAATCACGAATTAAATAAAACTAATAATTATAAATAAATTGATGAGGAATAAGTATTTAAAAACTTGACAAACTTTCTTCCCCCTATATGGTATTGAGGTTGCGTATTATAAGTGTTTTTCCTTCTTCTAGTTGTTGTTATTGCTATAAACTTGGGAAATAACAATAAATGTAAGGAGATGGCAAAAATCCAAAAACTTTCTTTGTTCTCGATAAGAAATTAAAATTAAAAATCGAAAACGAGGGAGAGAATAAATAAAAATAAAAATACTTGAAACGACAGGGTGAACTCAGTGTAAAATCTGACAGGACAACAGCCAAGCTGAAAGTAACCAGCCAAGACTGACAACGAAGAGCGAGGTGAATTGATGTAAGTAAGGCGGCATCGAAAAAAAAAAAAGAACCGATATCGCCTTCAATTTCCGTTTAAAAACAAAATCCAATCTTCAATACATTGTTAATCCCGCAAAACAAGTTTCTAGCGGCTGCGCATTGACTAATTCTTAATTGGGTTAATAATCGTCCGCTCGGGACCAATTGAAATTTATGTATTAATTAATTATTTTGTTTTGGCCCTGAGCCCATTTCCCATTCCCCATCATTTCAAGGAGTTCGTCTTGCTATTAATTTATTGTCGTGAGATAAAAAGAAAACTGTCATTAATTGCCGCCTTTCTCCTGGCAGGGATCATAACTATTTCGATGTTGCAATTTGCTATAAACTTGTGTAGCATCGATCAATCTGAGACAAATTTACAATACGATCATACAGGACGAATCGTATGATCAAGGGGGGGATTCCCGTTTATACCTTTTAAGGATCGGTCTCTGATTTATAATTCTTGTTCGTTCATGTAGTCTGGCGCCTGATGCCTTCATCCCTTATCAAAACACGAAAACAAGAAACCAATGAGAATTTGCAACACATTGCAAAAAAAATTGCAATCAAACATTACATCACATGGCTTATATTTTTAATTTTCACTCGTCTCAGCAATGGTTGCAATATTGCTATTTGCTTCGAACTTGAAAACAATAAGGTTTTAGAATATTGTTTAGTTAGTTAGCGAATAGTTTGCTATTACGTCGTCTATTTGTTTCTTTTGAGTATTGCTGTCGGTATCAAGAAAAGATTTCCGTTATTTAGCATCTCAGTTACATCATTTTCATTTTTTCGAAGTATGGATCTCGACATTGCCAAACTACCTTGCCTTGATGTCCAATAGTTTACGGCATAGCTTCTCCTTAGAAAAAAGTCATCTCTAATCTTCCCACGCCACTCCGCATAAGATGCAACATTAAGACTCTTAATTTTCTTATTGAAATATTTCTTTATCTTGGTTGCAACATAAACGTAAATGTTGCAAAAAAAAAAGATTTCCTTTCAAAAATAGTAAAAATCAAAATAACGCGTCAAATAATTACTAGCAAACCTTATCTAAGATAGTTATATATTATATACTTTTACAACCCCTTTAATACTTCTTCTAAGACTCCAACGAATACATCGGCATGTTTCTCTTCAAATAATAAAGTTGGTCTCAATCTAATAGAAACATCACCACATCCACCAATATTAACACCCTTAGCTCTACATCCCATTAAAATCTTTGTTCTAGTATCAACATCAGTACAATCCCAAGCAATAAAAGTACCGTAATTCTTACCTCTTAAATTAGAAACAAGGGTTGGATATTGTGAAAGAACCGAATTTAATTTCCCATATAAATAATCACCAACTTGACCAGTTCTAGTAACTAAATCATTCTTAACAATTTCTTGATAAATAGCCTTTGCAATAATTGCTTTAGATGGATCACCACACCAAGTGTTAAATTGTCTATATGGTTGTTTTGGTTGTAATTCAGGATTACTGAAATAGAATCCGGCAGCTTGGAATTTTTTGGAGAAAGTAACCATATCTGGAGGACTAGGTAATTCCCAATGTTCATGAGCCCAGAATTTACCAGATGCACCAACACCAGTTTGAACTTCATCAACAATAAATAAAACTTCTTGTTCTTGAGAAATTCTACGAACTTCTTGGAAGAAATATGGAGTAGCATGATTATCACCACCTTCGGATTGAACAGGTTCAACAATTAACGCAGCAACCTTGGTTGGAGAGTTCTTAATAATTGATTCCAATTCTTTTAAGCATCTATCCTCTTCAGCCCTATTTTCTTCAACGTGTTCTTCAATTGGATATTTCAACATTGGGAATGGAGCTTTTGGCCATGGGAATGCAGGAATATCTAATTTATGAATTTCTTTAGATCTAGTAGTTGATAAAGATCCAAATAATCTTCCATGGAAACCTTTATCAAATGATAAAATAACCATATCAGAAGCACCTGGAGTACTATTAGCCATAACTGATTTCATTTCATCTTCAGTGAATCCATTATCACCTCTTAATTTAGTATGTTGATACATAAATGCCGCCTTATAAGCAGTTTCATTAGCATCTGATCCACTTAAAGAAGTCCAGACTTTATTCATACCAGGAGGAGCAGCTGCCAAAATCCCTTCTTGCAAAATTTGTTTATAATCAGAAGATGGGAAACAAGCCAAAGCAGGACGATTGATAATAGCATTAATCATTTCATCCGATTTAGCAGCTTTAGCCAATGCTGGATTATTATAACCAAGTGGATTGGATGAGATCTGACAGAAAACATCTAATAATTTATTTCCATCAGCATCACTAATATAATTCCCAACAGATTGGAAATAATCAGCAACAAAATAAGCAGCTCTATTATCGAAAACTTCACCTAATTCCGTATTTAATGTTTGTGATTTTGGACCTGGGATACAACCGGTTTTTAAAACTGGACCAGTTGGTTCTTCTGGGAAATAAGTTGCCGCAATTGAAGTAGATTTTAATCTTGTTTGTGTCATTTTCTTAACTGATTGAATAGTTGATCTGAGCATGGTAGAAAAACGTAGAGAAACAATCCAAGAGATGTCAAGAAAACAACGGGGTGAAAAAAATCTTCGAAAGGAAAGATCTTGTTGAATTTATAGTTTTTTACTCAAGAAAGTTTCTCCTTAATTGACGGTAACCCAATCCCATTATTCATTATTATGATAAAATGATTCACCCCGCGAAAAGTGAAAATTTGAAAAATTTTTAGGAGCTGGTTTTCCGCGCACAGTTTACTAAAAAATAAATTGTTAAACGTGTCGTAAAAGATAGCCTTATGGAATGTGGTGGGGCTGAACTGAAAAAATGCCGATTAAAGTTTTAATTTGTTAGCATGCTACTTGATCTAGACACTTTAATATGCTGTTATCAAGACTTTTGTTTGTGCTACAAACCCCCTTGCATACACATTGAATCTAGATGCAACCAAAAGACCTCTTTTCATAAAGCTGCAAATATTCTATTCTTCACATTGTGATTACTTACACGGAGGAACTGGTAGCACTGTGTACATTGTATCTAATATGTAGACTCACTAACAGCTTGGATTATTTTCCGCCTTTCTGGAAATGTTTTTAACAGTTTGTATGACATTGAGCGTGACCTTGTCTGTTGGAGGTTACGTGTGCATCGTGACGGAGTAATTAACGAGGGACTTTACGGGTATTGCGATTTACTTCATCGCATGGAGAAATCGACAGAATACTAGTTTGGTGACAACCCATCAATATCGCTCATTCATGAACAGCAGCAATCCCCCCCGACCAACAATAATCTACAAAATTGCACGTGATACAGATTGAGATTAATTGTATATTAAACTATACGATATGAACGTAACCAAAAAAAAGCCAGAAGCAAGCCATAATTCTGAGTCTCCTAATCAATCTCTCTTCCAACGAATTTGTCCTGGCTGCTTAGCATGATAAATTCCACCAACTTCATTAGTAGTATTCCATTGATCAATATATGACAACAAAGCAGTACTCAAGGCCATTTCTCTAGGCATTTTACTTTCATTAATAAATAACGTAAATCCATTATTTCCATTTGGAACAACTTGACCAATTCTTTCCCTAATTTCAGATTCCTTCTCACCTAAATTATGGACCATTTCTAACCATTTCCCTCTATACGTCCATTGATAAGTTACTCCATCAGCCAAAGTAAACATTCTATAACTATCAATTGCATCAACTCGATGATTGGTAATATGCCAACCCAATTCAGCAGCAGCCCCATCAGGTGCTCTAATCAATAAGACATTCCCTCTTAATCCCGCCTTCACATCTGCAACTGGTTCATCTTCCCCATTGGGTCCAGTACCTGAAATAGCTGATGAATACATCTTATAAGCACCTTTGACTGCTCTTGAACGATGAAACCAAAAAATTCGATCATGAGGATTGTTTGGTCCAACGGGTAATTCTCCTTTATTGGTATCGAAAACATCAAATATTTTAGAACCAGATCCAAATCTTTTGATGACGGCATATTGGGAAATGTTTTCTTTTGGTAATTCTTTAATGATGGGGACATAACGAGAACTTCTTCTATGTGGACTGAAAAGAATTGATTTGGCTCTGACCAATGGTCTCATGATTGGATAAAGGATTAATTCGATAGGCATTGTTGATAATGAAGATGATTGGTGATAGCTAGCTAGTTTGAGTCGAATTGATAGCTTGTTTGTTAAGAAAGAAGTGGATGCAAATTAGGAAGAATATCACAAATGAAAACATTTTTTGCCATCAAAATGGCTGCAAATTTTACGCAAAAAAGTTATGAAAAAACAACATCAATAAAGGAAGCTATAAGTATCAGAAAAAATAATTGTTACACCCTAAATAAACTATAATTCATTAACCCAATACTTCTATTACCTTTGTAATTAATTACACAGTATTTAAAACTTACTTTGAAAGTTTAAATCACTTTTTAAGAAAATCAACCTCAAGCGCTACCACGAAAACCCCCAATTACCCCCTTAATTCCACAGTCCCATAACTTTCTACTAAGATCTCCAATAATTCCCAAACTTCTTCAAACACAAATTCCTAGTCTTAGAACACCCTAACATAATTATATTTTAGAAAGACTATATGGTTCCCGATTTATTGACGAAACAAAATTGAGCTATGACATGACTTAGGAATTGATGAAAAAATATTTTTGCGGAAAATATCCGATATAGTGTAATGGCTATCACACGGCACTCTCCATGCTGTGATCCGGGTTCGATTCCCGGTATCGGAGTTATCTTTTTGCATACATTTTTTTGATACAAGACCCGGTTGATTGATATGCTCGGTGTTATGATTGGTTGGAGAGGGGATCCAACGGTTGTTATATGCCATTAATGGTGTCTAATATCCATTCTTGTGCATTAATTTTTTGATTTTTTTTGGGGTGCTGTTTGCCCAAAAAAATGAAATTCCACACTAATCATCCTCATGCAAGCGATTGCCGGATGAGTTGGTTGGTATTGCTCATATTTGAATTAGGACAGTCTGTTGACATGTTTAAATCATTGCAAATATGAAAAGTTAAAAAACATGCGGTTTACTTGAACGGAGAACAGCAACGAGATTGATCGAAACAAAACTTCCTCCAATCACTAAACTTCTACAATTATTAAATGTATTTATTATTACTAATACAACTCTCTATTTAAGAAATTCTATACCCTCTCCGTCCTTTCATCAAAACCATTTCATCGACTTCATCTTCCTCCTAACATCCGACTTCATCATATCAAAATCATTTTCCAAATAATTCAAAATTTGAAAATATCTCTCCCTCTCAAAATCACCCACGAACTCATTCAGGTCCCCCTCTCCCAAGTCATCATAATCATCATGATCATGGGCAAACGCAACATTTCCATACGTTTTCTTCTTTTGCTCCTTGGCCAATGCCGCTTCTTTCCCATATGCGGCACAAAACTGAACCGAACTCTGAAGGGCGCAGACGACATTATCATTATTGAACCCCGGTAGGGAGATTTCATTATCATCCTCACTACCCTGTTTTTGTTGTGCTTGTTGCTGTTGTTGGAATGCTTTAATGGCGGCCGATTCGGGGATTTGAAGTTTTTTCTTGATTTCTTTCGAGATTTGAGATTGTTGTTGAGAAGGGGGTTTGTAGTCTGGTTCTAAGAAGAGGGATTTATCCGGTAGATCAATTATTGATTGAAATAATCCTTTGATGTTTATTTTGTGAACGGTTGCGTCACTCATTGATAATGATAATGTTAGATAATCGTCTGATTTCCAGGTGTCTTTATTTTTTTCAAGTGATTGTATTGTCCAGGATGAAATACCATTCGGGATTAGGACATTTACATGTCCACATAAATCACTTGGGTTTAATAAATCCCATCCCAAGATTGGGATATCGAATGAAAGTGAGGATGAAATATGACTTACTTTGTATAAATCACGATATATTATCTTAGAGTTGTCTTTGGCTCCAAATAAACTTTCACCCGATTTACCCATTTTAATTTTATCTTTAACAATTATAACCATATTTGGTCTATACAAGACTTTCCCACATCCACAATCATCAAGATGTGCTCTTGCGAACCCCACCCAAATCTCTCGATTAGGTACGATGAATTTTTTAATTGGGATATTGGCAGTTTGTAATAATTGATTTATATTGATTAATTGAGTTCCACCTCTCAAGGGGCCAATCTCATTCTTGGGGGCAAGGTTTTCATTCAATCGATATGATAATCCACAAACACCCGCATTTTTCCCATCTAAATCACATTTAAGCACATCAAGATTGGCCCATCTATAAATAAATTGAATCCGTTTATCATACCCATCATGAATCCGATCTACTTGACTTATGAAAGGAGTCCAATTTTTTTGAGTTTTCATTCGAGGTAGGTTTTTAATTTGTAATTCAACTATTCGATTATATAAATGAGTATCATAATCAGGATTTCTAATTGCTTCTACATTTTCTTTCCCTCTTTGAAATTGCCATGGCCAACATAAAAACATTGAACGATAAAAATCAGGTTTCATTACTATTCGAGTATCATCATCATCATCAAAATCAACAAGTTTTCTATGATAGGCATTGAAAACCACTAATGGTTCTTCATAACCTCGTTTATTTTTCACGAGGATTAATCTTGGATCTTCTGGTCCATAATATTTACCTGAAGTATCATCATAATCATGCCAAAAAGGAATCGGTAAAAAATAAGGAAAATTCAAAATTTTAAATTTTTGAGGCTGTTCCGATTCTTTTAGTTTTGATTTATCCTTTTTTAAATTATTGGTGGGGACTAATAATTTTGTATTTATTAATTCATTCCAATCTTTATCAAATATTTGTGCATAAGTTAATGAAATTATTGGTTGATTTCTGGCACCTTTGGGACTATAAAGTATTCTTGAAATCATGAAATGAACCCCATATTGTTCTAACCAAACTGAACTTCCGGCTAATCTATACCAAAATCGATCAACTACATTTAATTTCAATTGAAGTCTTAATTCGGGTAATACGAATGGAGCTAATTCATTTAAATATTGACTAGTTCCTGATTCCATTTCTTGGAGTAAGTTGGTTAATATATCTGGTAATGAAACATCCAAAGGGATTGCTTGATCTATTTGTATATTACTGGTTGATTTTAATTTGGAATCACATTGATTTAAATCCATATGAATATTATTTCCTGAAGTAAATATTGTGAAATTATAAGGTGAATAATTTGAATGAATTTGTGAAGAAGTTTCATTAATTTCACTAGCTTGAATGAATTTTGGATAATTTAATAATTTCTTATTAAAGAATTGTGGATTACTGCTTACAAATGTCTTGATGTCTTCTTCTATTTCTAAATTTTTGGGGAATATTAATTGATTTTTAAATATTTGATTCTTCTTGGATGTTGAATAATTAAATAACATTAATCGATTAAATATACTTGAATCATCATACAGTAGAAGTTGTATTATAGCTAATGCAAATAATGTCGCTAGAAACCAATAGGCTAGTTTATGTCTAAGTCGTCTCAGGAATTTCATGTCGTATTAGAGTATATATATTATTATATTGTATATTGGATAAACGAATGTGACGGTTGTAAAAATGAATTCATGAAAAATATGAAATCGATTTATCTCTCTCTCTCTTTCTTGTGTTTGCTTTTTCAATATGCAAATAAGTGATAAGTGTAAAACGACGTAGGTAAGTAATGAAATATAAAAGAAGTCGTGTCTATGATTGTCTCTTTGTTTAGATTGTTTTAGATAAAGTTGGTTTTCACTTGATTGCTGTAGATTTCAAATCCTTTTTTTATTTAAACTTTTGAGTGTTGTTTATCAAATAAAAAAAGATTTTTTTTTTCTCACTGTACATTTGATGTAAGGGCTTATGTATAATGACGATATAAGTACAATAGAACAATACGATACAGGAGGGGGATCCTTTTTTATTGATCCCACGCGCACTCCGTTACACAATATGGAATTATTTACTTGTGTACCATTCAAATGTCACATCTTAATCGTTTAGTCGTCGTTTAATACGTCAGACGAAGAGGTACAGAAATAAAAACGATCTGTCTTAAAATCTTATTAGTTTCACAAAATCGGACAGGGAACTCGCAAGGAACAAATTATATCACTGCCCAAATATCATTGACATTCATAGATTATCTCATTTATCCCATTCAAAATAAAAAGAGAGAGCATGAGAGAGAATCAACCAGAACTATTTATCTTACAAAATCAATACAATGCTTTGACTCAGATTCTATTTGTAACTTTTCCATCAACTACTTCTGATCACAAAAACGCGTCTTTTGTGGCTGTGGTAGACTAGTTCAACAAAAGTTCTAGAATCAGGGCATTCCTCACTACCAAATTGGAGCCCTCCCCCCCCATCATGTTAAACCCCTACCCATAAATTTAATAAACGTTTCAATTCTAATACAACCCCACTAAGAAAAATGGGGAGATATAAATAGTTAATATACTCGGGGGTAATAATAATGCAATATTTGATAACAAAAAAAAAAAGAAAAATCAAAAAAACCGTTAGTTGTAAACTTGATTAGGCGAAATTTATAGTATTCGTTATCTTACTTTGTTAATAGGCGTGTATTTGTTTGTTTAGCTGCAACTATATGCTTACCCCAAATTTTCCAACTCTATAGTTAAATTTTAGTCCCCTGATTGATTGATATTTTTGCGCTTAGTGGATGGCTAAAAAATAAATTTGATGATTTTGTATTTTAATTTAATTGCAAAAAAAAATAAGTCTTCATCATTCACTTCATTTTCTTTAATTATACTTTTATGTTTTATCTAAATAGGGTCACTTTAGAATTAATGAATTGCATTAGATAAGAAATAAAAGTATTAATTAAATAAAAAAATGTCCCCTTTTTTGCGAAAAGCACAATCGATACGAAGTCATTACCGGCACAAACTTCAATGGTTGTGAGCTCCAAATACACACACAACATGGTCATTGTAAGGAGCACATAACTATTCTAGTAAAAACATTCCTTACTCTTACAGTCATTACACCCACTAACAAATGGGTCATCGCTCGGGGGATAACTTAAGAAGACACACATATCGAACGCCTGGAACATCATTTCGTACTTTTCATGTAGTCATGGTGAGTCATCTCAAAATGATTAATTTAAACATTCATACGGGGAAAGTTAATTCAAAGCTTTCCGAGCTGAATCTTTATTTTTCAGGTATAATCTTGCAATAACCTTAATATGTCAGTTTCTTTTTCTCGAATATTGCAACATTTCCGAACACCATATCGTTTTCAATCTTAGGGTTATATTCCGATTCAAGGGAGTACTTTTTTCCATTGGTATCGACAGCTACGTCCAACATGAATTCTACCCCACGGTTAGTCAATCATATGCTTCCATTCTGGAAATAAATCACCGGCCCCGCGAGAGATAATAGGTAATGACGTAAGTCAAATAAAAAAGCAAGTGAAAGAATCGTAAATCTTGGGGAATGGGTCTATTTAGGATATTTAGTTAATAAATATTGTACTTGCACATGCATTATAAGTGTAAGATCTGAGCACATAATTTATTAAACTTTTTTCAATTAAACCCCAAAAAAAACCTTAAAATTAAATTCTTAATTGTTTAATATTTAAAGGGATCATATTTCTATCAATTAAATAATCATTTTTTTCTGTTCAAGAAGATTTCATATTCATTAACCAAAGAATTCAATAGATAGCCATGTCTTTAGATCATTTAGGTAGAGCCATATCCACTATTCAACTGACATTTTGTTTAGTCATATTAGTACTATTCATATTTTATTTATCATTATTATTTTTTTATATAAGGTAACACAACATATACTCGCCTAATAATAATAATAACAATACAAATTCTAAAATTTTTAGTGAAACCGTTAGCGAATGACCAAAAAAATAATTTAAACTATCCCTGGATTTCACATATAAAATTTCAACCATCTACCTCCCCCCTTGATTGTAGTTGATATCAGCCCCTTCCTTGCCAGAACTCAGTCTGCCACCGCAAAGCTAACGTTCCAAGAAAAATACTTCAGCATTATCAATCATTTGAAAATCCGGGGTCAGCCAAGAAAATATTTTTTATTAGGCAAAGAGGATTTAAGAAAAATGTATGATACAAAAAATTAGTTAAATTAGAAATCGTATAGAGAAGAAACTATATCTATCCATATATAAAATGCACAAAGCATGTGATTATATTTATAAAAAAAAAGGTTATGATACTATATATAACTACTTCAATACTCTTATTGAGCTGTTTCACCTATCTTCAATGATTCAATATCACTAGCTTTAATAAATTCAGTTTTCTCATCCACAAGAATTTCATCATCATCTTCTATAATTGGTTTGGGGTTTTGAATTGAGATATCTTTCTCTTGTATATCCAATTCATCATCATCATGGTCTGGGACTTGATCTAAATCTTCTTCTTCATCGTCATCATACTCCTCATCATCCTCATAATCATCCTCCTCTTCCTCCTCGTCCTCCTCTTCATCTTCATAATCCTCATCTTCTTCTTCATCATAATCGTCCTCATCATAGTCGTCATCGGTATAATCATCCTCTTCTTCAGTATATTCATCACTTTCATTCTCCTTATTATCACGACTACTACTATCTATTCCCAATCCCACTTGTTCTTCTTCTTCTTCATAATCTTGATCATCGTCATCTACCTTTTCATCGGTCTTATTACTCTTTCCAAACATCATAAATGATTTCAAAGGGGAGGTGAACGAAGATGCAGAAGTTGGTCTTTCCAAAGTCGATGCTCTACTTCTATTAGTGTTTCGATTATTGACTATCAATTCCGGATTATTGACATTGGGTTCTTGCGAAGGTTCCCTTGAAGGATCATGCAACTTATCACCAGATAACAAATTTGGCGATCCACTCAATACCGTCCCATTAATATTCTCACCCGCCGGAGTCTCATCCTCCTCATCACTGAGATCATCGAAATTTATCGGCTCCCTCCAATAATTCACATCATTATACCGTTCATCAGTCCGGAATGTCTCCTCAGTCATACTCCTAGGCGACCCCGGGCTACCGGGACTCACAAGACCATCTCCAGTAGTTGATCTAGTAGTCATATATTCATTCAATTGATTATCATTCCAATATGTATCCAAACTATTCCCCTGTTTTACCGGAGGAAAAAAATGATCAACTAATTCTCCAATATGAAGATATGACGATTTATACCCCGCCAATTCTAACAATTCCATATGGACTTCTCCATCTGGGTTTATGGTAAAGATTCGATGACTGGGGATATGGACAGATCTATAACTTATTGCATCGGTGATTCTATTCCCGAAACCCGCATAAAATGGAGTCTGTTCATCACTTGTATCAGTGGTGGTGTTTTGGAAGAATAGGTTTTTTATATCGGAAAGGCAAGCCATTTTGAACACTTCCGGTTTCTTCAACACCACTTCTCGTCTTAATGCCGCAAATGTCCGATCGGGGGAAAGTATCACGGGCCCCGGGGGGAGTTTTACCCCATCTTGATTTATACCTTGGAGATATTGTCGAGTTGAATCAGCTTGTCCTGTAGATCTAGCGGTTAAATAAACGATATTATATCCATTCAGACGGATATCTTGGAATAATTTGGCTACTCCTGGATGTGTCCAATCGCGACCGATTAGGTTTAGGACATGTCCCAAGGCGTCTGATTTTGTGATGGTACCGTCGATATCGGAGATGACTATGGGGGTGTTTGATTTCCATAGATAGAGATTGGAGGTGATTTGGGCGGCACCTTCGCTTAATTTGAATTTTAGGGTGTTTTCTCCGTAGTGGAGTCCCATTTGTTGTAATTGTTCGGAAGTCAATCTGAGGGTTTTGAAATAGGTTTTGTTATCGGTGGCAGCTGTACTGGTGGTAGTGCTTGTTGTAGTTGGAAGGTTGGCGCTACTGCTTATAGATATGTCATCTTCCATATCTACTGCTTCAAAATCTGGTTGATTTGATATTCTAATATTTCCATTTTCATCTTTTGTTATAATTTGTTCCCATGCTTTAATTTCTTGACCAATTGGATATTGATCTTTTGATGATTCAATTTCTTCTAAGAAAATTTTATTAAATAATTCTTCTGAATTTTCAATATTTTTTTGTGAATTTGCTTTATAACCTTCCATATCTATAACCATATCTCCATTTATATCAACTTTTGATGGGATATTTAATTTTTGTGTAACCTTTTTAGCACTTTCAATTACAATCTTAGATCTAATTGATGAAGAGGATGGCGCGGGAGTTGGACTTTTAGAACGCGTCGATGATAATTGTGGTGATGGTACCGTGACATTCAATCGAATCTTATCTTCAATCTCATCATTTAAATCCAAATCTTCAAGCGTTTCCGCCTGTTCACTTCCTGATTGTTTTGGAGATGATGCCGATGCTGGTGACAACAAGGGTGATCCATCAGGCGAAGACCCAGGGGATGATGCAGGAGATATAACCGGAGAAGTCAAAACACTATTTGATAAATATTCTCGATTTTCATCATCAACCTCAAATACAAAAAATGCTTCACCCCCTTCACCTAATTTCATAGGTAAATCAGTTTTTATCTCATTAACATATAAATCAACTTTCTTTTGGGATGGTTTTATAATTTGAAATTTCCCAAATCTAATATGCCATGGTGAAGTATGTAATGTACCATCAGCATGTTCAACTACTATAATATCTATGGCACCCAGTAATGTTGCTGGATTTAAGGAATTCCATTGATTGTAGACATAACCACCTACTTTACCAACGTACTGCATGTCTCTCTTTGGATGGTTGATTGGTTATTGACTGTATAAGAAAAGAAGAAAATGTGGTAGTTGGGAATTTCAGAAAAACGTTTAAATTTAACGAAAAGTTGTATTCCTGATTTAATTGTTCTTATGATTTTTTCTGTTGGAGTATTAGTATTTCCCACAAGTGGAAGTAAACCACAAAAATCAATCTAAGCAAAATATCACATGGGAAAAATCAAATGACAAGATGAACTTTTCTAAACAGTATTACACATTGATATCATTATAAACAAAAACACGGTAACTAAGATTGAAGATTGGAAGTATACAATCTCTCTTGATTCTTTTCTAAATATCAAATTCAATTTAATTATATCTTTATGTTCTTTTGTACCTCGGCAGTTGCACAAGGATAGAACACACAAAACTTGATTCTCCAACACAATGAATAGGATTATTAGATTCCATCATACCCTGTATACTTTCTATAAATAGAAAGTATAAATTCATTAATCTGTTTGTTTAAACGAGTGCAAAATTGAAACTGGACGACCACCCGATCGCTACCAAGTGTAGTCTACAGTAATAAATATTTGAAAGAATCCTATTAAAAATTGCATATCTTCAAATTCCACTAGCTTTTCAATTGAAGAACCTATTTTGCATAATAGGTTTTAATAATATTACTATTGGCTTCCACTGATACCTTAGCATACACTGTAACTGAATTATCATGCTTTGGGATTTTTGATTATGTGTTCGAATTATAAGTGAATTTGCATAAAATAAATATAAGTGACAACGCATAAAATAGGTATAAGCAATAATGCATAGAACTTAATGGAACATTACGGAAGTAGTGGGGTTTGAACAGATCCCGAATAATTCCTAAGAATCACGAGATATTCGGAAACAATTAGGTATGAAGGGTTATATGTAATGGAAGCAAGTACCCGTTATCCAAATTAACAAATATAAATACAGGTCCTGACTCCCTAGAGTTGGAACTTTACAGTGATATAATTTTATATAAATTTTCGCTCTCATTGAGACTATCAATCGAGCCTACATATAGATTTCGAGGTTGTATAAGACTTCCTACTACTATAATTCTCATATCATCTGGGTTAATTAAATACACGTGCTTGTTATCAGATAGGCATAAAAATCCTTTCTTAGTTATTTGTGCTACTGATATAAGATTCAGCGGTGCCTTTGGTATATGGTGGACGTTATCTACAGGAATAATATCTTGATCCGTTCTAATTGGCAATTTTCCAGAACCCTTCGAATCAATTGTCCCAGAATTTGCAACCATAAACTTGGTCTTTTTGTCTTTAGCATATTTCATCAATAATTCCTTATATTTTACCACCGAATGGGAAGCACCTGAATCATACACCACCGACCTATCAATTCTTTCACCTTTCTTATTATACCTGGTTATTTCATAAATTGCAAATGAATTATTCACCTTCACAAAATTATACTTATTTTCATCTAATTGTTCGGTTCTCTTGATGGCCCCACCAGATTTTTTAATCTGGCTGCCAAACCTTCAATCCCGATTCTTCAATTTCTCGAATAATAAATCATCAAGCTTATTCAATGTACTTTCATCTTCTATGTTAAAAGCTGTTGACTTATCTTTCTTACCTTTCGGTTTACTGACCTTGTCTTTATCTGATGTTTTGGGTTTGTAGTCTTGAGTTTTCCTCTTGTTAATCTCAAAAGTATTTCTCTTTTTATGTCCGTTAGTTGTTTTCCTAAACTGCTGAGATAATTTTTGCATTATTTGCCTACCAATTTGGTAGAGCGTTTCGGTGCTATCATGCTCGTGGTGCCGATCGTAATCCGACCTACTGGTCGCACCATGTAATATCTCACTATATGTTTTAGGATGAAATTTGGACTTATCTTTCGTCCATTCCTTGTACCACTCCTGAAAGAATTTTGCACAACTTTTAGGCGTGTTACTCAAGGAACAGTAATGAAATATGACTGCTTGATTACCCAGAATCTCATTATTACCAGACAACCACACAAAATCAACCATATCGTCAATCCGACGCAATGCCTGGAATTCGTCTCTCCGTTTCTCATATTGGAAAGCGTTTTTCGAATTTTGTTCGATTGCCACAGCTTGTGCCAATCTCATTTCAAGGTGTTTAGATAATGCAATATCCTCATAATTCTGCAAATAATGCCATATCTCATCAATCCTCAAAATTGGGGTATCCGGATGAGGTGGGTGGTAATTCTCCATTTTATTAAGTACTCAATATGAAGAAATTGCATCTAATAAAGTTTCCACATAATATGCATAGTTGGCCGGATCTGTCATGTTGAAGCCAGCTATCTTAGTCTCATATGAGTTGAAATTATCAGTATCTTCAAACACTGTTTCAATCCCAGGATATCTGGCTGCAATCTTGTCAAGTGCAGCCTTCATTGAATTGATTGCTTGGACTATAGATGGATCCAATTGGTCCACTTTATCCAACCACTCTTTCAAATCCATGGTGAACTTATTGGCCACCCATTTCCTGCACTTCTCATATGCGTCATCTTTTGCTAATACTTCCGAATAAGGATATCCAGAAAATAACTTGATTTTTGGTCTTTAATGGACCACTTCATAATTATGAACAGTTTCTTTTTCTTTCTGAACTCTTCTGTCATCTTGGTTTCCTTTCATATTACCGACAGATGGTGTTTCCGGATCAGGTGTTGGAGTTTTACTCATTGTTTATAGTTGTATTTTGTTAATTAATATATATTAGTGTTCTTCTCACTTATGATAGAAAATGTCGCAATGAATGTCGTTCTGATCTTACATGTACAAGTTCTAAATATTACCGTCAATGGATTGAACAACATTGGAAGCGTAAGCTAAGCTCTTCTGAGAATCTAGTTCTTATGATTGAGATTTAAATTTCAAGGATAATTGGCAGCAAGCTTTTGCAAATTGGGTTGGGTTGGAGGTTGACCGTATGAGATAAATCTAAAGCTTTCCACCAGTTGATATGCGACATTTTTCGCAACTGTAACTTCCATTTCTGATACGACAGTCAGCAATCGATAGAAAAAATTTGGCAGCACCAAAAACCTGATCAATATTTCATCTGTTTTCAAGCAACCAACTAGCAACAACAATTGACAAGAACATGGGTAAATATATAACAATTGCTACTTGTAATCTTAACCAATGGGCCTTGGACTTTGAAGGTAATAGAGATCGTATCATTGAAAGTATCAGAGAAGCCAAAAGACAAGGAGCTAAACTTAGAGTTGGACCAGAACTTGAAATTTGTGGATATGGATGTTTAGATCATTTTGCTGAAAATGATTTATATGAACATAGTTTCGAAATCTATGGAGAAATCTTATCCCATCCTGAAACAAAGGGGATTTTATTAGATATTGGTATTCCAATTATTCATAAATCAATTAAATATAATTGTCGTGCTATATCATATGATGGAGAAATTTTATTAATTAGACCAAAATTATTCTTAGCTAATGATGGTAATTATCGAGAAATGAGATATTTTACTCCTTGGAATAGACCTAAATATTTTGAAGAATATCAATTACCTAAATATATTTCAAAAATCACGGGTCAATCAAAAGTTACATTTGGTGATTGTATTATAGAAACTAAAGAAACTAGATTAGGTTGTGAAACTTGTGAAGAATTATTTACTCCACAATCTCCTCATATTGCTATGAGTTTAGATGGAGTTGAAATTTTCACTAATTCAAGTGGATCTCATCATGAATTAAGAAAATTAGATACAAGATTTAAATTAATCACTGAAGCAACTAAAAAATGTGGTGGTGTTTATCTTTATGCAAACCAAAAGGGGTGTGATGGAGATAGATTATATTATGATGGATGTGCTTCGATTATAGTTAATGGTAATCTTTTAGCACAAGCTTCACAATTTTCTTTAAAAGATGTTGAAGTTGTATCGGCAACTATTGATTTAGATGATGTTAGATCATACAGAAATCAAAAATCAGCCAGTAATCAAGCCGTGAATCAAACCACAACATATAAAGTAATTTCAAGTGATGTTGAATTATCTCCAAGTGATAATTTATTTGATCCTAATGTATATCCAACCACTCCAAGACCGGTGAAATATCATTTACCCGAGGAAGAAATCGCATTGGGTCCTGCATGTTGGTTATGGGATTATTTGAGAAGATCTAAAACTGGGGGATTCTTTTTACCTTTGAGTGGAGGAATTGATTCTTGTGCCACTGCAGTCATTGTTCATCTGATGTGTCGATTAGTCGTGAAATCAATTGGTACTGATAAACAAGTCTTGAGTGATTTACAAGCATTAGTCCATGATCCTGAATTTGTTCCTAAAACCCCACAAGAAATTGCTCAAAGGTTGTTTTATACTTCATATATGGGTACTGAAAATTCTTCCATTGAAACCAGATCTCGATCAAAGGATTTAGCAAAAGATATCGGATCTTTCCATGTTGATTTAAACATGGATTCCTTGGTAGGTGCCGTCGTTAACTTATTCGAAGTCGCAACTGGTAAACGACCAATTTTTAAAATCTTTGGCGGATCACAAACTGAAAACCTCGCCTTACAAAACATTCAAGCCAGATTGAGAATGGTCTTAAGTTATCTCTTTGCCCAATTATTACCATGGTCCCGTGGGAAAACAACCAGTGGGCTTTTGGTCTTAGGTAGTGCTAATGTTGATGAATGTCTTCGAGGATATTTGACAAAATATGATTGTTCATCCGCAGACATTAACCCCATTGGAGGTATTTCAAAAACCGACCTTAAGCGATTCATCGCCTGGGCGGAATTTAATTTCGAATTACCAATCTTACATGATTTCATCACGGCAACACCTACTGCCGAATTAGAACCCATCACCAAGGATTATGTCCAAAGTGATGAAATCGATATGGGTATGACATATGATGAATTATCCCGATTTGGAACATTGAGAAAAGTTAATAAATGTGGTCCCTTGGCGATGTTTATAAAACTTTATCATGAATGGTCACAACCTCCTCATAATTTGAGTGCAGAACAGGTGGCGGAAAAAGTGAAGAGGTTTTGGTTCTTTTATGCTATTAATAGACATAAAATGACAACCATGACTCCGGCTTATCATGCTGAACAATATTCTCCGGATGATAATAGGTTTGATTTGAGACCATTTTTGATAAATCCAAGATTCCCTTTTGCAAGTAAGAAAATTGATGAGATTGTTAAGATTGTTAAAGAAAGACAAGAAGAGATTGACGGAAATAACATTAGTGTTGATTAATCATTGATCATTGATCCGAAGGATTAATCAACTAGTCTTATTATATAACAACTACTCTTATTATATAACAACTACTCTTATTGTATAGCTAAAACCATTATTTTGTAAATATACACAACCTATAAATATTCTTATTTATGTATCTTCCCACCCCATTTCGGTATAATCCCACCCAAAGCATCTTTCTTCCCATCAGCCCCCTTTGTCCTATTAATAAACTCCACAACACAAACACTAGTCTGTTTCGGCAAATCCTCATGCACGAAATGCCCCGACACATTATTATTCTTACTATTATTCCCCCCAAACACCACCAATTGATACTTCCCCTGCATTTGTCCAATAATCAACTTCTTATCCAAAGTTTCATGTGCCGATAGGATCAACAATTTCGCCCCCTTAAAGGAGATGAAATTGTCAGCTAGACCATCGAACCAACTATCCCAAAATGGCAGTGTTAGGGCTAGATCAGTCTTCCAGGTCAATGGGCCCTGGTGGTGGTTTAGGAGATGAGGGACGCTTAATTTTGCCGATTCGGGGTTGTGTAATAATGATTTCATGTGCCATTCAATAGCTCTTTCGATGGTGGGGAATTGGGGTGGTCGGCGGGCAATGAATTGGGGCATGATTGAGAGTGATTTCACCGCGGTTTCTTCCACTATATCGAGCATTATGAGTCCTTGGAGATTGAATTGGGGATCGGGGTGGAGGGATGTGTATTTAGATAGTATGGCGCCTCCTAAGGAGTGTCCTAAGAGGTATATGGGGGAATTGTTGGTGTAATATGGTTTGGTGGTGAATGTAGATAGTATGAAATGAACATCTTGGACAAAATCAAGGATGTCATATTCTGTAGTAGGAGATGAATCACCATGTCCTCTGATGTCGAATAAGAAGATTCCAATTGAATTTGTCATTTCGATTATTTGTTGTGCAAATGTTGCAAATGTCATAGATGAAGATCCAGCTCCATGGAGACAAAATAACACTGTGTCTTGTTTGGAAGTGGGAGCTCGATAATAAGTCTGGAAGGATATTGATCTGGTTGTGTCTGTGTATTCTTCCATTTCAGTAAAGAATGATTCTTTGAATTGGTTGTATGCTTGTATGATCTCATTGTCTTGTTGTTGATTGGGTAGTTGCCTGTTTGTGACCTTTGATCTGGGGTTAGATGATGATTCTTTGATTAGATTACTAATAGAAGTTTTGTCATCATTTATATTGGTGGGGACATTTTCAGATAGCAGTGATAATCCAAATGCTGATTCTTGTTGTTTGATCTTCTTAATAAATGAACGATGTAAATCAGACATTGGTTGTGGCTTTAGGATGTAGAAGATGAAAGTGAAAGTTAATTTGATTATTTGTGAAATTTTATTTTTCGGATAAATATAAAGCTTCTGCTCATCGTATTTTTATACCCCAGAGTTAGAGTGTATTAACGGATAAACTAAACAGTAAATAAGGATGACTGATCTTACTGGCCATTTCCGAGATATGGCATTAGCTCATTTCGTAGCCTATAAAGCACTTTTATTTAATGAAACTCCCGTGGCATGTATTGTTAAAGATAAAAACACCAATAAAGTTGTTAGTATTGGATATAATTATACAAATACATCACTTAATGGAACTAAACATGCAGAATTCATAGCATTAGAAAGATTCACAGGTAAGCCAGACTTTAACTTCAAGGATCTTATATTATATGTAACAGTAGAACCATGTATAATGTGTGCATCATACCTTAGACAATTAGGTATCGGGAAAGTTTATTATGGATGTGGTAACGATAGATTTGGTGGAACAGGCACAGTATTATCGGTTCATAATGATCCTAATTTATTAGATGATCCATATGAAAGTATTGGAGGGATTATGAGAACTGAAGCAATTCAATTATTAAGAAATTTTTATATTCAAGAAAATGAACTGGCACCTAACCCTAAAATAAAGAAGAATAAAGATATTGATACTAAAGAATTCCCACCCAATGTATTTAGATTTTCAAAAGAAGAATTTATAGAGAATTATGGGAATGAAAGATTACCTCTTTATACAGGAGATGGCATTAAGGAGATCACTCCATTGATTAATAAAGGTTATAAAGTCATTGATTTAATTGATATTCACAGTGTAAAGGAATTACCATATTTAGAAGATGAATTAGGCAATGTTAATCAAAATCAATTGAATGATATGTTTGATTTATTATTTGATATTAATGATGACGGTACTATCAATTACAATAAACCAATTAAGAAATATAATTCAAAGAAAAGACATCATCCTTCTGATGATTCTTCAACTGAAACTCCTGGTAGTTCTTCTAATAATGATGTTGATGATCCATAGCGCTACCATACAAAAGTTACAGAAAAAAATATTTAGTATTTTCGTGCTAATTATAAATATTTCACTCTTTAGAACAAATACTTACTTGTAGGCATATTATAGACAAACTTTTAATAGACAACTAATATGGATGATTCAGATGAAGAATTCTCTTCTGTAGGGATACAAACACCTTCTTCAAGAATATCATCGGTAGCTCCAGAAACAACAACATCATCCGCATTAAGAGAAGATGGAGTCTCATCAAGAACAAGAGCAAGTGGAAGTACCAATAAAAGTAAAGGAGAAATAAGTGATTTGAAAAAAGCCAATGGATATGCTTGGGAAGATGAATATCAAAGATCATGGGATATAGTTAAAGATGATGAACAAGGTGGAAGTTCATTTGAAGCTATGGTAAAATCAATTATTGAAAGTAGAAAGAAAAAGATTATGAAACATCCAAGTACTCCCTTTCAAAGAGGGATTATTAGAACATTAATTGTTATAATTGATTGTTCAATAGCAATGGCTGAAAAAGACTTAAGACCAACAAGATTATCAATGACTTTGAATTATTTACAAGAATTTGTTGTTGAATTCTTTGATCAAAATCCAATATCACAATTAGGGATAATTTTAATGAGAAATGGTGTTGCTAATTTAGTAAGTGAAGTAAGTGGACTGCCTCAATATCATATTGATAAAATTAGACAATTAAAATCAAGACAACATAATCGATTTGAACCAAAAGGTGATCCTTCTTTACAAAATTCTTTAGAAATGGCAAGATCTTTATTAAAATATAATTTTGGTTCAAAATCAAATAATACCAAAAATTCAAAAGAAGTTTTAATAATATTTGGAGCTTTATTCACAAGTGATCCAGGAGATATACATAAAACAATAGATAGTCTAACCAAAGATGAAATCAAAATCAAAATCATTGGATTATCAGCCCAAGTTGCAATCTGTCAAGAATTAGTCACACGAACCAATCATGAACCAAAGGGGGCAAGTTCAAAGAATTATGGAGTCATTATGAATGAATCTCATTTTAAAGAATTATTAATGGATTGTGTTACTCCTTTACCACTTACAGAAAATGAACAAGAAAAACTAAACCAATCCAATAAATCAGGAGTTCCTGTAATCAAAATGGGATTCCCATCCAAGATTCAACCAATATTAACATCAAGTATAAGTAATGTCGATTATACAGTCGATTTCCCTAACTTAAACGCATCGTTCCCCACCAGTGGTTCAGAAGACTCCCAAAATATAGTAGAAATAAATAATAATTCAGGCATGACAATCACATCAGGAATAATAGGTTATCAATGTCCTCAATGTAAGAGTAAAGTATGTAATCTACCCACGGTATGCCCCGTTTGTGGATTGATGTTAATCTTATCCACCCATCTAGCAAGATCTTATCATCATTTAGTACCACTTCCGCCATATAAGGAAGTCCCCGTTGCTGCATCGTATGATAGTCAATATTGTTTTGGATGTCAATTGAAATTCCCAAGGGGCGTCAGACCAGGTACGAAATCAAAGGGAACGCTTGAATCTTTGACAAGTTCAAGATATAGATGTATGAAATGTGAAAAAGATTTTTGTATAAATTGTGATGTTTTTGTTCATGAAGTATTACATAATTGTCCTGGATGTGAAAACATGTAATAACAAATGCAAACACAAGGGTATATCTAAATTTTACAATATTTATTAGGTTTTGTAATTGTTTAATAATATATAAGACACAATAATTTTATAATACAGAAAAATCGTTAACTAAAAGCTTCCTCACTTCTTATTTCCACCCCAGGTGGAATTACCTCCACTAGATCCCCATGTAGAGTTATTACCTCCTGCTCCTCCCCATTTAGATCCATTTCCTTTATCTGCACCCCAAGTAGAATTACCTCCTTTATTATTACTACCCCAAGTCGAATTTCCACCACCACTTCCTCCCCAAGCCGATGAATCACCTGCAGAACTACCACTACTACTTGGGTTACCACCCCATGTTGAGTTCCCACGAGGAGTCTTACCTCCATTCCACGCAGATGCTCCACCCCAAGTAGACGTATTTCCATAAGAAGGAGTCTTTCCTCCATTCCAAGCTGATGCACCACCCCAAGTCGAACCAGCCCCGGCTGCCGCAGGTGTAACACCTCCATTCCAGGCTGATCTTTCACCGGATGAGAATGCCGGTGCGCCAGTTCTTGGCTTTGAAAATCCGCCAGGACCAGGTTGTCCAGGATTGGCACCAATGAAACGTAAATAAGGAATAGCTTCACCTCTGATCAAAACATTCAAACTGTTTTTAGGAACTTTGATTTTTTTACTCTTGGTATGTAATTCGATTCTAGCATATACTTCATCGGCTTCGACTACTTTTCCTTTCAATCCTTTATAACTTCCACTAGTTACCGCAACATCCTTATATAACAATTTATCTCTCCCACCTGCTCTTGTTTTCAAACCAGAAACTGCTGCCGGGGATGTTAATTTCAAATTTGGATTCATGGAAGTTAAATCAGGACCAAGATTCTTGGACATGATTGAATCTTTGGTACTAATAGTATTTACATTCATTCTATTAGTGACGAAAATACCCAAATTTTCAACAATTTCATTCAGCTTAATAAATAAGGAATTCTTATAGATATGTAAAATAGCCCCTTCTCTCTTTTTATCACCAAGTGATTCTCTAACAGTATCACCAACTTTAATAGTAAAACCATTTCTATCGGTAGCAACTTGTTCACGACGACTTAAAATCAATTTTGATGCAATCCCAGAAGGTTTGATCGGTAATATACGACCATCAGATGTAAGAATTTCAAAAATATTCTTTTCGGCTTTTATGATCACCCCAACTGTAGATGCATTCAATTCAACCAAATCTTTAATATCATATTTACTATTTGCTGAATCGGCATTTGAAGATGCATCAGTGGCTTTAACTAAATAATTAGCAAATACACGAACATCTTCTCTAGTTTGATCACTTACAAGAACAACTGAATCACCATCAATTTTGATAACTAAACCAGTTTCATCAAAATGTTTCCCTTCAACAATTCTAACATGATCCCCTTCATGGAAGATTTTTCTTAAATCATTGGCAGGGACAGTTAATCTTTGATTCACGAATTTTGGATCTCCACTATCGGTGACAGAGATTGTGATTTCATTTAGGGAGGCTTCAACTACTATACCTATTGTTTTTGCTTGTTCACCACGACGAATTTCAACCTTATCACCCGGTTGGAAAGCAGTAGATTGTTTACCTTCAGTCTTGTTCTTACTTTTCAATGAGGCAGCAATGGCAGATAAATCTAATCCATCTTCTTCATTACCAGTTTGGAATCTATCCAACTCTTCTAATGTTGGGTGAACATCTTTTGTTTGAACAAATTGTAATTTGAAATCCTTATATAAGAACCCTTCGATATATTCTTCCCCTCTATAGATGTAATTACGAGCTCCTCTTCCTGGTTGTAAATAATCTCCATCATACATTCTTGCTTCTTGCTCATTGAAGAGTCTAGGTAAGGGTCTAACCTTCAGCTTTATTTTTCTTCCTTCTTTATCTACTTCGTCATTTCTTCCATAATCAAGTCTTGGTACAAGTTTACAACGAACATCTAACCCATTTTCAGATAAATTATCAACAATGGCAAGATCTCCTTTATATTTACCTCTAGTAATTCTAACATAAATCCCAGGGACAAGTTCAACATCAGAGGATTTCACTTGTTTCAATAAATCGGGATATTCCTTAACGGGGACCAATAACTTATCTCTGACATAAATATTCACCATACCAGTTAAAGCTTTATCAATGGCATCGGGTCTTTTTGCTTCAATATAAATATATCCTCTAAAGGAATCTCTTTGGAAAACAGTCAAAATATCCAATGCATTATTCTGTCTTTCTAAAGTTCTCTTCTTTTCATACAACTTACGAACTAAATCTTTTTCTCTTCCAGGAGTACATCTAATGGCATAAATTGAAGGATCATTGATGGATGGCATTAATAATTTTTGTGAAACAGTTCCACTAGTTGCAGTTTCACCTCTGTAAACAGTATGAGTCTTTCTATATCTTTGTTTCAATGTTTCAGCTAATTGTTCTGCATCTTGGTCTTCCGCTTCTTGACGACGACGATCGTATTCTCTATGTAACCTATCATCACGATGTGCCTTATCAGTATCATCAACGGCATGATCTTCGGTAATAAACTGTTGACGTAACAATTCTGCTTCTTCATCATCTTCATCAAGTTCATCTTCTTCTTCGTCATCGACTTCGGCTTCGATATCGATAAATTGGTTGGCACCTCTTCTTCTTTTTCTCTTTCTTCCACTGACTTCATCATCTTCATCATCTTCATCATCTTCATCATCCTCGTCGTCTTCATCCTCTTCGTCATCTTGTTCTTCGTCATCTTGTCCATCAGCTTGCTCGTTGTCGTCTCTCTTACGTTTCAAACTCACTGATTCTTCTTCATCTTCGTCATCTCCTGCGTCCTGTTCTTGATCAGCTCTTCTGAATTCTTCATCAAATGTCAATTCATTCTCATTAGTTGGATTGTCATCGATCTTATCTGAATCAGAAGTTTCACGCTTTATAGCACCTGACGTATCAGACATCTCTGTAATAATCGATTTATTATTAATTAATCAAACCAATCAATTAACAGTTGAAAGAAAAGGAAAAGGAAAAAGATTTTGGCAACAGTTTTCAAATTCATTCAATAAAAATTGACCTCCAACAAAAAAAAGAAAAAAAAATATTTCGAACTCACGTGACTCTGTTTATCCCTCCGGTTTATATAAAATTTATACAGTTGTCTATTAACTAATAGTACTACTTACTCTTCTACATAAACATGAACCAAATAATCTAAAGATTTACCGACAGCAGCAATATGCCAAGGTATAAGTCCACTGATTTCATAATTAACAATTTTATCATTGTATCCACCTTCTTCTTCCGCTTCACATGCCATCATTTTACCATCAATATCTCTCATACATAAAATATCATTCAATGCAATCAATTTCTTATAATGATTAAGAATAAGTGTCATTAACACATCTAAATCCCAATAATTCGAACAACTAAGTAAATTAACTTCAAATGCAAGATGGGTGGCAAAATCAAAATCTTTAATTCCATGATCTCCATATTCTCTATCCCATTCTTTAATTAAATATCCTATTTTCATACCTAATCTTGATGGTGAATTAAATGATGGCAATGGGATCTTTGGTATTATCCCTACGATTTCTGATTCTGGGTCGTGAAGATTCATATCTGCCCCAATGGAATTACTCATACCACCGGTAGAAGTACCAATGCCTCCTCCTGATGTAGGATCTTGTGGTGATAAGAAATTAGCTGGAACATTCACAAATTGTTGTGGAGAATGGAAAATCAATCCATTAGGTGAAGCAACCATTCCAGGACCTCCAGTGCCGGGCGATGAGTTGTCAGACGTAGAGAATGCTTTGAAAAAGCTCTCTCTGTCTTGTGATAATGGAGTATGATCTCTCAATTGTGTACCAACATTCATGGGAAATAAACCAGTTGGCGATGGAGCGATTTCTGAAGCGTAAGATACAGTATAATCACTGGCAAATATTAACTTTGGAGATTGACTAACTGATAACACAATCAATGAAATTTCTTTATGTTTGATACTTAAACGTTTCCATTGTACTAATTCATCATCGGGAATAACACTATTAACTCTAGTTAAAACCAAAAATTTCTTTCCTCCCACGGTGGTTGCCTTATTATTCATTTCATCGTTCAAATTCTTAAAGATAGAAAGAGATATGTTCCAAATATCATCACTAATACTGGCAATATCTGATGCGTCATTTCTATAATTCCCATTTGTTCCATTGGATGATGCAGGATTATTAGCACAATACCATGATTTTGTATAAGTAACCGATCCAGATGGATCTGACCATGCAGCTGAAAACCACTTCTTATCAACTGATCCTTCATACGCTAAATGTAAAAATATATCATCATTGAAATTATTATCTCTGGCTGATGTATTCATAAACTTGAATTGAATCTTGGTCGGTGGTTCCTTCACTATAGAAGTATAAATATATTTCGAAATATCATTATTTGCTAAATCATTAGGACATTCATTATAAAGATTCATCGAAAGTCTAGTCAATTTATGATTACTAAGAACTTTCAAATGAGTTTCTCCATATAATCTTTTCACTATCAATGAGGCAGGGATTATCTTACTAAATATTTGAACTAATGGTAATTGATGTTGTGTTAATGCAACTTTAAAATTCCTGAAAATCTTACATATCTGAAGCACTGAGTTAAGACTCTTATTATAATTAACAAATAAAAGTAACAATGGTCTATCAAATTCAAAATTATTTGTCTTATTAATAAGATCCAATTTAATCAATTCAACCAATGAAATAAGTTTCTTATTTGTCTGAATATAAAAATCATTATAAGATTGCCCTTTTTCTCTATTGATCACTTGTACACCATTGGACACCGATTCAAGATCTGGTCTAGTTTCCACCGTTGATAAATTAACCCTTGAAATATTACCAAAATTACATTCACCATAATTATATGAAAGAAGATCCAAAAATTCACTTGCACAACTATCTCTACTATCATGATTTCCGCATCCTTCATCAATAACCAAAATTTGGAAATTCTTCTGATCTCGAACAGGACTGAAATTCAAATATTTCCAATAATCTAATCCGAGACTATTAAGATTAATTATATTGTTATTTTTCAATATCTTGGTTTTAACCACTGGTAATTTAAAACATGACTCTTGATCCGGAATAATATTTGAATTAAGTTTGGTGTTTATATCTCGATACTTCTCAAATGTTTCCTTGTCCGTATTATCTAAATCAAACGAATCCCATTCTAAAGATTTCAATTTCTTATACAGCTTTTTAGGATCATCGTCAAAATCATCATCATCATTGGTAATATCCTCTAAGAAACTCAATTGGTTATCCAATGGATCTTCACTTTCCAATTCTTTATAGTCTCTCAAAAATTCAATCATATTCACTCTATAAGAATATGGAAATATTTCACTAAACTTCCGTTTGAAAAACTTGGGTGGTGCATGATATCGGACAAAATTTGAAGATAAATCAGTTTTCTTAGGATTGAACCCTTTGAAATAAAATTCCATTCCACTTTGATTCGGATTATTTAATCCAAAATCATAAACTATATTCGGTGACAAAAAATTAAGAAATTCACGGAGATGTTCATGTTTGATAATCATTTCATTACTCTTGGTGATTTCCAAATCGTTGTCTAAATCATCATCATTTATTGAAAAATTTGGTAAAAGCTGTTTACTTGTTAAATTATTCATCAAAAATACATTCGGGATAGTTGAAATATTAATACTTCGAAGAATCAATGGTAAATAATTTGAAGGTTCATTTATCAGCTTCATTGGAGATGTTTCCGAGCTAGCTCCCTTACTGGCTGCCATATCCGATTGTGCAACCATTGGTTGTAACTTAGGTGTTTGTTGGACTTGTGCATTTTCGAAATCTATAGGTGACATTCCCAGTTGCATTTCATGCGAAGAAAATGGCGAGTCGGCCTTCAAGGTTGGAAATTTGGCCAATTGATTAGTGAATGGAGATCCAAAACCGCCAGTATTCAATGCAGGATTGTAGCCTGGTTTATCACCAGCAATGCTGGATGATGGAAATTCTGCTTGTTGAATGATAGCCAGGTTGATTTGATTATTACCACCATTGACAGCAGCGCCTATACTTCCAGGAGGATAATAAGCTGATTCATTATAAGTATTCAATTTCAATGGAGGGGAATTTGTAATATCATCTTCGATAACCTCTTCATCCACATCACTTTCTTCACTTGAAGAAGATTCAGAATCATAAATGTCTTCTAAAGAAGATTGTCTATGATGTAATTTGGATTCTTTGTCTTCTCGATTGAATGAAATTTCCAACCCACTTACACTTGTTGCTCTCATCTCTCTTCTTTTCTTATCAAAACTTGGATCCACTGATGATTCTCGATCAACATAAAACTTCCCGCCTTTTCCGTATTTGGTGTCGATATTACTCTTAATTATCGGATTGAATAAAATGGGTGAAAATATGGATTTCTGCTCTGGAATCAGCAGACGAGGTGCCGATTGAGCCACATTCATATTCGACGTCTCTTCGGGATAGTCTGGGTTATCTGGAATGGGGGGTGCTGATGGTGGATTAGTAGTTATGGCAGATTGTGGCATTGTTGACAGTACAAACGGAGTTGGTATTATTGGTAAAGGTGCCCCCGGATCGTTATAGTCAGGACTAATGTATTTGGATATCATCATTTGATCTTTGGGTATATCAAAATAAGGTCGTTTTAAAGTTTCCTTCTGTATATCTGTTTCGTCTTTTTTGATTTCTTCTTCGTCTTTTGATTTGTTGTCCATGTTGTCAAACAAGCCATCAAGCTTTTCACCTTGTTCCAAATCAGCATTCGGTTCCTCCGTTTCTTTATTTTCGTCGTCTTCCTTGGATCCCTTATCTTCTTCGTCTTCGAACAATTCTGATTCGTCTTCATCATCATCGCCTCCGAACAAATCATCTATTTCCATATCTTCTTCATCTTTTTCATCAGAAGCTATCTGCTCGCTTTCCTCCTTAATCTCTGAACCATTATCATTTTTAAAGAAAGCATCGGCACTTTGCAAATTAAATAATTCTGCACTGATGGGCGTGTTCATGTTCATATCTATGGAGCCAATGTCTTTTGGTCCTTCCATTTGTGTCATTGGTCCCACAGATCCAATATCCCCTATTGACGAAGGTACACTAGGTACATTGAATGGACCAGTGGTGGATACTCTATTTTCCTGATGTTGTTCCTGTTGTTGTTGGATTTGTTGTTCTTGTTGTTTTCTATGATGTGTTATTTGAAAATCCACAAATTCAGAAATTAGACTTAAAGGATTGGCAGATCTCGGTATTTCGTCCACAACGATTTCTTCGGGTAATTGTTCAACTTTTCCAAGCTGTACTAAACATAGGTTCCAGGGCCATAGTATGAATTTCCTATTTTCTACTGTATGAACGAATTTCGCAATTGGTGAAGCTTGATTATTTAGATGTTTCAAATTCGGAATCAACTTGAACCAGGCTATATCGCTATCAACACCGTATGAAATCCCAGTGCTTAGTTGTAATAATTCCAATAAATCTGCATTATCTAAGTTATTCAGCTCCACAAAGTTATTTTGAAGATTAGTTGGATCAAATAAATGACATCGAATACCGCTAGGTACAAGATAAATAACGAAATTCGGATCAGAATTGTAGTCCAACATGCGAGTAGGAAACAATCTAATTGGTTCTCTTTGAACACAAGATATCATTAAATCTCCATTGGGGAAAAGTATTGGATCAATGCATAGTATTGAATATGCTTTGTCATCTTCACTAATTGCACAATAATTTCCAAATAATTGTACCAAGCCACGACTTGATAATTCATATAAAACCATTTTCTTAACTGCTTTTAAAAAGCTTAGTGGTTCGAATGGGAAGAATTCTTCTTCGTCATCCCCATTGATGCCATTGCTAGGGCCACTTTTCGGTGGATTCGAATATTGATCTGCTGTAATTGTATTGGAAAATTTGATTTGTAAATTGTCATATTCGTTAATTACGTCATGGAGAAGTTGATTATTATGATAATTATGATCAAATGAAAAGTAATACAAACACTTATTATAATATGTTATTAGGATGTTTGGATGATAATGTCTGATTTTTAATTCTAATTCTAATAATTCTTGATGATTATTAGTGTTGGATACTAATACTGAATAATGAATCTTTTGCAGATGGGCTAGTTTATAATAATGCGTTAACAACATTGAAGTTCTCTTTTCTAGCGACATCTCCTTCATTTCTTTCTTTCTCTCTCTCTTTTCTCTTCTAGGTCTAAAGTAGGTCTATAGATGTATTATTAAGATCTAAGTGTCAATGTATTGAAGGTGAACTGTGGTCCTCTTCAAGTTGGTTGTAAAAGAAGTCAACTAATTATGAGTCGTGTAATATGTTCAAATACAATCACCGAAAAAAAAGTTGTTCCCCCAAGTTTGTGGAGATATGATATCACTGTAATTTAACAAACTCACGACTTGGGCAAACCAATTCCATGGATATGTAAATGAAAGAGATGAGTATAAATATTATGGGATGGTGTCCTATAGTAATGGAAATTAAGATATAAGACTATTTGAGAAGTAGATTTGGAGTCTTCCTGGAAACTAACGTAATTTTTAGATGTAAGTAGAGAATTGCTGCAAAACAATTGTTGCAACCTTATACAAGGATATATTCAATGAAGGGTAAAACATCAACAGAGTTTCGATTGCAAGAAATCTAAGGCGGGTACTTTTCTAGATCTCCAGGCAGATTAATAAATAGATAATCAACTAAGAATTACAGCGTATCTTGAGCATAAGTTATTTTTTGGCTAGTCTTGACATTCTCTCGATGACGTCAACTTATAAATACTGGTTCTAGATATCCAAGTGAATTTGTCTTACAAGTCTTTACATACAAAGAATTTTCCTTATTTAGATAAATCCATGTTAATGGAGATGAGATGAGTAAGTCTTCTTTGTTTGACGGGCATTTGGTAAATTTTACCTAATTTGAGATTAGTAATAATCTTCATTGTTTTTAAAACAATAAAGCTACCAATCTTTCCGGATTGCGCTTTCCTTGGTTTCTTTTTCTCCACAATTAAATTAATTAATAAACCCGTTCCAGAGTCTAGAATTTTTCAAAGTATAAAAGGATTATGATTTCATCAAATTGTCAATTGCTTTCTTCTTTCTTTCAACCTCATCAATTCACCAACACCCAAATATAAATATATAAAAAAAGCAATGTCTGCTTACGGTTTTGTTAAAATTTCCAGAGATGTGAAGGAAGCAATTCCAAATCCAAATAAACCAACTCCACAAATTACAACAACTTTGCCAACCTCAGAATTATCCAAGTTTGTATATGACTATGCCAAGGAAAAGCTCCCACCCCAAGTCTTTAATCATTCCCTTAGGGTTTACTTCTATAGTATTGCTATTATCAAAGATCAATTCCCATCTTGGGATTTAGACCCCGAAGTTGTTTATGTTACCAGTCTTTTACATGATATCGGTACAACCAATGAAAATATGCATGCTACTAAAATGTCTTTTGAATCATGGGGTGGGATAATCTCTCGTGATTTGGTTTTAGAAAAAACAAAGAATCAAGATTATGCCGATGCAGTTTGTGAAGCAATTATAAGACATCAAGATTTAGGTGAATCCGGATATATTACTACTTTGGGATTAATCCTACAAATTGCAACTATTTTGGACAATGTTGGGTTGAATACTCATTTAATCCATCCAGATACTTTAGATGCTGTTAATAAGGCATTTTCTAGAGCGGGTTGGTTAGATTGCTTTAGTGCTGCCATTGATCGTGAGAATAAAATGAAGCCCTGGGGTCATACCAGTGCTTTAGGAGTTGATAAATTTAGAGATGATGTTCAAGCTAATAAAGTAGAATATGTTAAATCCAGTTTATAAGTTCATAGCCTTTTAATTGATTAGTTTTTGTCTTTTGTCTATATAAACATCTCAATTGTAGAATTAAAGTTTAGGTTGCAAAAAAAGTTCGTGTTTTTGTTTCACCCCTTGAGAAGCCAATTTCCTTCACTACCGCGGGATCGCGACTTTTGAGATGAAAAAAATGACGATCTTTATGTGACAACACAAACGACTTTCAGATCCTTCGTACATCAAAGACATCGACTCAAACCCCCCTTTCCTTTATACTTAAATACAATGTCTACTACAGAGAAAGTTCGTACGTATTCCAACTATTATGTAAATGTTCATATAGAAATATCCCTACTAACAAAATTGTGTCCGTTTTTTCTTTGATTTGTTTTCAGACATTGAAAAAGAAAAACCTCTGGGCCCTACAATGAATAGCTATATTAAAAGCATCTGATTTATCCGAAGAAATCCAAACTAAAATATTCGAATTATCTCAACAAGCATTAGCAGCATATAAAATAGAAAAGGATATCGCTACATATTTAAAAAAAGAGTTGGATCAAATTTATGGTCCAACTTGGCATGTAATTGTTGGAAAAAGTTTTGGAAGTTATGTTACTCATGAACAAGGGTTCTTTATTTATTTCTACATTGACGAATTGGCATTTTTGATCTTTAAGAGTGGGTAGTCTATTTATTGTATACATTACATATTTATAAAAAGAATAATAAATTATAAAATCAAATTTAATAGTTTACAAAATGATTATTGAAGCTTTTCAAGTTGACCCCCGAATAAAGTGAAAACAGGAGCATCTAATCTGTCTCTTCCTTTCAAGAAATCTAATTCCATAACAAACAAGTATTCAACAATTTCAGCTCCAGTCATCTTTGCTAATTCACCAGCACCAAAAGCACTACCACCAGTTGCCAAGATATCGTCAACAATTAAAACCTTGGATCCAACAGGAATAGTATCCTTTTGAATTTCAAATGAATCAGATCCATATTCTTTTTGGAATTCAACAGTATGAGTTGGACCTGGTAATTTACCTGGCTTTCTAACTGGAACGAAACCGGCATTTAAGGCAAGGGCTAAAGTTGGTCCGAATAAAAATCCACGGGATTCTAAACCGATAACATAGTCAACTTTCTTATCACCAACATGTAATTTAAATGCTTCAACTAATTTCTTGAAAAGATCTGGTTTGGTGAAAATTGGAAGGAAATCTTCAAAAAGAATTCCTTCTTTTGGGAAGTTTGGAAATTGTTTTAAGTTGGCTTTTAATTCTAAAGCCAATTCATTAATTCTTGCTTCTGACATCTTTAGGTAGTGGTCTATCTCTTAAAAGGAATTTAAATCAATTGAATAAGGGATTGATATTAATCAAATATTTTTTTCTGTTCCTTACTGTATGCTTCGGGTGAGAGGTTGCGATGACGTTGAAAATTGGTTTGAACACTTAAGCCACTATACACACCTAAAACTATAAGATACTCTCGTCAATTCGAGTCTTGTGTTTCACAAGCAAAATATTGCGACAGAGATCCTGATCTCTCCAATGTGGTCATTTCAACGGTTTTGAAAAACGTGGGCATTTTTGAGCCTAGCGAACAAGGGAAAATTGGAAAACTGATTCGCCACAGTTGGCACGAGTTAGTTCGAGCCCTCAAAACTCCAATTAGTGGGGTTTCAAAACGTTTCTCTCACTTGATCTGGCTTCCACTTTGAATCTCACTGTTTATCCATACAAGAATGGGTTCATTAGAAGGTCCCTGCGATGCCTTCGACGCCGCAAACAGAACTACTTGCTCGGTTAATCTTTCCTCGGCTGAAAATTTGACAGGACCCAGTCTTGAAAGAGGTTGGTAGCCCAGATACACGTTAAACAACCCATCTATTTTACTTGGACTGTTGCTGTTTTAAATGCGACTGTAGGAGAAACCCTCAGATGTACAGAATTGTACTATGGTATTAGATCAAACAAGTTAAATATACCAAATTTGTCTGTAAGCACTCTGTTAACAATCCCACGAATGATGAATGAAAAGAGTCAGACATGGCCATAGTTGTTACACGTCGTTCCTATATCACTATGTAACAAATCCGGGGATGCCACAGCTTGTATTGATGTCTAATGAAAGTGATTAACATTTTCACCTTCGAAGCTCGGAGTGTCTAATAATACCTCATGGAGCTTATACATCAAAAAATAAAAACAAGTACTGGCTCAAATTACTTCACATTTCTAAATCAGATCGCAGGAGGTCAATTGTCAATATTGGCTCTTTAAGGATAGCAAGCTTGCAAAGTTGGAGATTTCGTACTAAGGACCGAACGCAACACGTCAATTGCCTATCTAAGTACGCCACTTTGATTCATTTTACTAATTGCCCACATTAAACGTGTATTTCTACGTTTCTCTATCTACGCCCAGCTTATCTAGTGGTTAGTTTTGATTGTATTGTATTCCTTTAGCCAATTAATTGTACCTTTTGCAGATTCGTATTCGCTAAAGCTTTACTTCTTTTTTTTTTTAGCAGCCAATATTTTTAGACGCGTTATTTTTGTTTTGGCAACCAAAAAGTAAAATAAATTTTTGTAAACACAAAAGAAAATTTGACAACTGTTCTATTGATCACTTTCCATCCATCAATTAAGATAAGGATAGTTATAGAAAGAATAAGAATAATAATCAAACAAGACCAATTTCGAAATGTCAGATATAGAAGACATAGCTAATTATTTGGATATCCTGTTTACTGATACACTTGAAAATGAATTTTCCCAATTTTCAATCAATGATAATCACCCTTATAGGCTTAAGCCTTTAGAGGGAAGACATCGTGGTACATTCTTAGATGATGATTACGAGGATGACGATGATTCGATTAAAATAAAAAGAAGGTTCGGAAGAAATGGAAGAACTAATGGGCAAGTGGTTAATGATAGCGCCAAAGTTTCTCCTGTAAAGAGGGTCACTAATGACTATCAGAATCATATCATGAGAATGCGTTCAAATCCTAATAGTCCAATAAAACAAACACAACCAGCTAAAGATCAGGCGAAATCAAAGCCTCCTGGAAATATTCTCAAGGATTTGAGGGAGATTGATTTGAAAGGAAAAGCGAAGAATGAAGGAAGAAATAAAGAGAATAATGAAAACAATGATGATAAAGACTTAGAAATAAATCAATTGAAGAATGAGCTAGCCAGCGCAAAAAGGGAAATTGATAGATATGCTCAGTTATATAATGATGAGAAAAGAAAGCTTGAAATTTTGAATGAACAACTCTCATCGGGCAACCGCCCGTTGAACAATCAAGATAACAATGTCATGAATGATTTGAAAATACATCAATTGAATAAGGAGCTAACCAGTACGAAAAGGAAGCTTCAAGCACAAGTCGATAAATATGAACGGTTTTATAATGATCAAATACGAGTTGTTGAGAATATGAATCACCAACACCTAATAGAGAGTCACGACTTGGAAAGAGAGGTTGAGAATAAGAAGAGTGAAATCTCCAAACTAAAAGATGAAATGATAGAAAAGGAATATAAGAATAAGGAATTAGATGCAACGATAAAGCAAAAGGATGCTCGTATTGCAGCGCTAATTCAACAACACGAGACAAGAAGGGTGAAGTTGCTCAAATATCATAATCTCTATAAAGATCTCGTAAAGAAAATGAATCAAACTTCTTCCTCGGCTTCACAGGGAGACGCAAAAGTCTCTTTTACACCAGACGTAGAGACTAAGAATGAAAAAGTGGAGGAAAAATCATCCCATGAGTTAAGTAAAGAAGCTTTGGATCAACTTTTTAGTGCTTTTCGAAAAATCCAAGAGGAAGGGTCATACAATCAAAAGCTCCCAATAGATCAACAATCGAGGGGCAATTCATCTTCCCATAATTTGACTCAATCCTTACCACGTCATGCTAATAATATCCCATCTCATGGTCATGAATTCCTTGGTCGCTCTACTACTCAGGGATCCCATCAGACTCAAAATGCACCTTATGCTAATGCTCAATATGGCTTATATCAACCACAGACTCCTATCAATCAACAACTGAATGGTATAAGTTCAAATTCGTATATGAATCCTCCTGTTAATTCTGTTCCACCTCCACCAGCAACCGGATGGTCAGCTGCTACCATTCCACCGACAAGTACTTACGGTCCTTCTCCACCACCTCCTCTGCAGTTTGTTCCGACTGAAAGTGCTGGTGCCAATTCAGCTGAGACTTACAGTGCCCCAATGAGTAGTCGAAGTGCTCCTGTTCAAGGTTATGCTCCACAGCTCGTACATAGTCAAAGTGTTCCATTTCAAGCTTATGCGCCACAATCAGTCAATACCAATGGAGGTTATGCTCCACAATCAGTCAATACCAATGGAGGTTATGCTCCACCACCACCAACACGTAACGCAAATTATGATCCACAACCAATGAATCCAACTCACGCTTATCAACAAGTTCCGACGTCTGTGCCAGTTGCAGATACCACTAATCAGCATTCGAATGCAAATGTGGGTACAAATTCTGTTAGGTTTGATACTAATCCTAGCGAGAGTCGATCACGCAAAAGTAATGAGAATGAAACTACAAAGAGAGATGACCCATCTTTACAACAGAGTAACGCACAGAGGACAACCTTGGATCCAGCTGCAACTTCAACTTCCCTCCGTCAAGAAGTTGTGAATGTCTTGAATGACTTGATAGTAACTAGCACCAGGAATGGAGACAAAGCAAATAGGAAAACTATGGAAGATGATGCCTTTGAAGTACGCATTAGTCATATTCATGGGGATCATTGTCGTTGTGAGGCATGCTTAGGTCATCAAAGAAAGAAAGCAATGGCTAGTGGAGATACCAATGAAGTGGATCCAAGCCGAGACAATACTTCAATTTACTTTTTCGGATCAGATGCTATATATAAGTATAATAAGTAATTAATTAGATTTAGCTAGTAAATATATTTTATCAATGATGGACGCTAATGCTTGTGCCATGTTAAAATCTATATCAAAATATCAAAATTTTCTTGTTCACAAAGAACCAAGAAATTGACTTGCTTAATGTCAGGAACATTTTCTTGTCCGTTCAAATAGAACCAAGAAATTGACCTGCTTAATCCCAGAAGTGGCCAATTGAACACAAGCTTTGAATGAAAAGTAGATGTAATTCCCAACTCGCTTTTGTAATTAACAAATGGCTCTAATTCAGTTTTGTTTTCAGTTCGTACAAATCGGGAAATTGCGATCTGTCAAGAAAATAAAATTCGCTGCAAAAATAAAATAAAATTCACCAAGATGACAGCGAGAGAGAGATCGGTTAATTTTAATTGTAGGATCTGGAGATGGCTTTTTTCGGGGGGCGGGTTTGAAATGTCAACAGATGTGAAACGGATTTGTAATCTTGAGATCTTTATCTTTTTAAGCTTCGTTTTTAATCATCTACATTGTTCTTTCGGGATAGACAACCACGTTGAGGATGCCGAGGTGATAATTTAATTCATTAGAAAAGAAGTAGGCAACCAGATAGTACGACAATTCCTCTGGGGTACAATTTCAACGACAATATACAATGCAAGTATAGAGAGATATGTACAGACACGAACTTGCAGTATGTATGAAATTGATAAATAATCTTTAAGCAAACGCCAAAAGTTTGAAATTTTAAACAAATCGCATTTTGATGCAACCATTTTAACTTTTTATTTTAAATGCTTGTCTTTTTCATTCTCATTCGGAAAATAAAAAATACAAAACGAAAATAAGTTTAATTGTCTTGGGGATTCTACCTATGATTTTTCCGCCCTTGAGATTTTAACGAGATTTTTGTATTTTTCGTTCTGTTTTTACTACGGCAGGTGGTGTATACATCTTACAATATAAAAAATTCTCGTCGCGTGTAAGTGAATGGTTTTTGTTCCACTGTCAATTTTCTAGCGCAGCCTTTAAATCCTTTTTTTTGGTGTGAATTATGCACCACAAACTAAAAATAAAAAAGAAAAATACCAGCGCATTACATCCAATCTTCAATAATAAAGTAATGTTTGTGTAATTCACGATTTATCTATGAATTTCCTTATTAAGCTTAACCATCAACAAATTATTTTCCTCTATTTCACAAGTTCTACATTTATTTTAAAACAAGAGGAAATTTTATTTGTACACTTAACGGGGGGTAGGTCACAAATTCAAGTTAAATTACAGTAACACTTAGTCAGGTAGTGTTCAGACCACAATTCCAAATAAAAAGTTCTTCTTCTCCTTCCTTCCTCCTCCCATTTCCAATTCCCTTTTTTATCCAATTTCATTTTGTAAACTCATTGATTTTGTTTTCTTATTCCTTTTTGGTTTGACATTCATTCGTCATTCTTGATCCATTCCATACTGCATTCATTCGTTTCTACTACATCTCATCCACCAACAATTCACGGGTTTATCACTTATCAAATTGCATCACGAACGTAGACTAATATACATATACTACCCAACATCCTACATCCTCACATATTACTTGTCATCATATCATGTCTCAAGCAATTATAAATAATGAAAATGATTACAAACTAGCAAGATCCAAACTACAGCAAGAGAAACAACTGTCACAATCACAACAACCACAACCTAATAGTATACCTACAATTGCATCACAAGAATCAGGATCATCGTCATCAGTATCACAGCCTACAAGGGATTCTGAACCCCAAACCATTGCAGTTCCACAACGTCAATACTTGGGAGATGTATCTAATCAATATATAACAGTAGAGGATCAGCAACTGTCAACACAGTCACAAACCATACAAACAAATCTAATAAAGAGAAAGCAACCTTTAGGAGTATCTCAACAACAACAACAACAGCAGCCGCAACAACAACACCTACTTCATAAAATACCCAAATCCATACCAATTGCATCTGATACCATTGCTAATCTTGCAGTACCTGCCAGAATCCCACAAAAGAGACAAGCAACTGAATCATCTACCAACCTTGTTGAAAAATTGAAAATACCAGATGCCGTAGCTGCAGACAATGTTGATAATATTAATAAAAAGACCAGATTAATAGATTATGAATGGCAAGATCTTGATGAAGATGAATTAGATGATCCCCTTATGGCAAGTGAGTATGCTAATGATATTTTCACATATTTTGCTGATCTTGAACTGAGAATGTTACCTGATCCTCAATATTTATATAAACAAAAGCATTTAAAACCAAAAATGCGATCCATATTGGTTGATTGGTTAGTTGAAATGCATCTTAAATTCCGACTCTTACCAGAAACTTTATTCTTGGCTATAAATATCATGGATAGATTCATGTCGATTGAAATTGTTCAAATTGATAAATTACAACTATTAGCTACTGCATCCTTATTCATTGCTGCAAAATATGAAGAAGTCTTTTCACCCCTGATTAAAAATTATGCTTATTTTACAGATGGAGCTTATGTTGAAGAAGAAATCCTTCAAGCTGAGAAATATGTACTTACAATTTTAAATTTTGATTTAAATTATCCAAATCCCATGAATTTCTTAAGAAGAATATCTAAAGCTGATGAATATGATGTCCAATCCAGAACATTAGGGAAATATCTTCTCGAAATAACAATCATAGATCATAAATTTATCGGAATGAAACCATCCCTTTGTTGTGCCCTGGCCATGTATCTAGCGCGTCTCATCATGGAGAAAACACCAGTATGGAATGGGAATTTAATACATTATAGTGGAGGATATCGTTTACTTGATTTAAAACCATGTGTTGAATTAATATTTCAATATTTGATCTCACCGGTTGAACATGATGAGTTCTTTAAGAAATATGCTACCAAGAAATTCATGAAGGCAAGTATATTATGTAGAAGTTGGGCTAAGAAGTTTTATGCTGAAGGAAAATCATTGATGTATGAATCTAAGAGTACTCATAGAATCTCAATGGAGCAATAAATGAGAAAAGAGGGATAGAGGGAAATTTATATATAACTATTCAATTGTATATTATAACTATTTAGCATTTTGTATTACATCGTTAGAACTTATTTGTTCCAACTTTTTAATTTAATCAATATGATTATTAAAATGAACCAAACTTACCTATGCAAGGAAGTGTCTCAACGAATCTTTGTTTTTAAAAACAAAAGTCTACAAGGGGGGAGGCTACTTCTGTAGCATTACTCACTTACATTTCTAATTCAGCGTCATTGTTGTGAGTTGCATAGTAGGGGGATTGACTTGATGATTTATCCGTCACTGGTTTTGCAACCAACGAAGCTTAAGGCAAAAAAAAATTATTGGACGCGTTTCGCGTTGTTTTTTCTTTTTGTCATCAGTTTTTAAAAATGGCAACAGCGAAGAAGCAACTGTTCATCTTACAAGCAAAGCAGCTTCAGCTATAAGTAAATAAGAAAGATCAATCATGTTTAAAGGAACCACATTCCTTGTTATAAAGTCAACAAGTTTGACTGACTCAAAATCATTAGTCAATCTTCTTAAATCAAATGGTGCCAGTCATGTTTATGTTAAAGATGAATTTGACAACAGCAAGAATTATCTTGAATCTCCCACTCAAATAAATCATATAATCTCCGAATCGATTGAATTCATAGAATATCCAATCGCCATTGATTCTATGGTTCCTATAACATCTCCTAAATGGGTTTATGATTCACTTGAACAAAAGAAAATTCAGAATCTTAAACCATATAATCCTGATCCAAAATTCTTCCTTAGAGACGTGTTTATATGCTGTGCTGATAATCTACCTTCTGGTGATAAAGAAATCATATATGGAGGCATCAAAGCCTTTGGCGGGAATTATTTGGATGTGTTAACGAAATATACCACTCATTTGGTTGCTGTTGATTTAAGTAATGAAAAAAGTATCATTGCTTCAAGTATAATTGATGGAAGTATTAAAATCGTGGTTCCTGAATGGGTTGATAGATGTATTGTCACGGGGAAACATGTACCTGAAGATGATTATTTATTACCAAATCCAAAAGTATGGCAAGATTATGGTGCAAGTGGAAGTAATGAAACTCAAAGAGAATTATTATGGGATAGTTTGCCCGAAGATAGTCAATTTACGGAAAAGTTTTTAGATGGTAAGAAAATCTATATTGGTCCCGATTATCATCTTTCTCAACGACAAACTAGTACTATTGATTTACTTATTGAACGTCATGGGGGTATGATTGTGAAAAATTTCTCAACTGAGATTGATATTTATTTAGGCAAGTACCGTCAAGGAACACCATATGTCGAAAGTTGTCTCAATGATAGAATAATCGTAGGGAATCTCCAATGGTTATATCATTTAATCGTTTATAACAAATGGATTCTTCCTCAGAATTCAAATATTTTACACTATCCGATCCCAATTGAACCAGTGTCACAATTCAATGGACTCAAGATCTCAATCACAAACTATAGTGGAGACTCTAGAGCATATTTATCCCGATTGATTACCATAATGGGAGGCACATTCACTAAAACGTTAACCAAAGATAACGATTATTTAATCTGTGCCAAGGCAGAAGGAAAGAAATATGAAACCGCTAAGGAAAGATGGCATGACGAGAATGGGAATCCGATGGTTAAGATAGTGAATCATATTTGGCTAGAAGATTGTTTCATTAATTGGAAATTACTAGATTGGAATCGTTCCAGATATATTCATTTCGAAGAGATGGAATCTCTTATTGGACAAGTGAGATTGAATCCAAAGGTGTTGGGAAAGTGGTATAAACCAAATCAAACTATTGAGATTGGTGACGAGACTGTGAATGTTGACGATAGTATGAGTGAAGATGAAACACATGCCACCGCCAGTACTGCCACTTCAGCTACAAAGACCCAGTCTATGAAATCGAATGATGGTTCAGTGACCTCGAATGAGAATAAAGAAAATGAAGCTCCAGTGAAAGGAAAGAGGAAGAAGGCAGTTACTCCGGAAATTTCTATCCAAGAGGATGATCAAGTCCACAATAACCAAGATGTCTCTAGTCCCTTAAAACAAGATGTGCCACCTCCTGGTGTTCGTTATGGCGGTCGTTCAGCTGCAAAGAAAGCGGCAGCAAAATTGCATGATAATATGTCAGACTTATTGGCATATCAAGAAATGTCTAAGAGTTCAAGAAGGATGAAAACCTATATGGAAGAATTAGAACAATCAGTACTGAGTCCAACTAACAAGCGGTCATTATCTATCGAAGAAGTTGAAGAAGACGTCGCTTCTTCGTCTTCGTCTTCCCCCAAAGCTAGTAAGACAAAGAAGAAAAAACCAGCAAATTATGATATAATAGCAATCATGACCGGTTGTGAAAGTGAAATAAACCTATCACGTACCGATTGTATCAAATTGGAACATCTTGGAATCTTATTGATTTTTGAAATATCAAAAACCGTTCCAAATACATTAATCGCTCCCAAGATCTTACGTACTGAGAAATTCTTACGAAGTTTAAGTAAAGTAAAGAAAATCATTCATCCTAGCTATTTGATTGATTTAGTGGCTAATATTGACAAACCTGATGTAATGAATGAAATTAATATTGATGATTATTCTTTGGATAAGATTATTAAAACGACTTATAAAGATTTGGGATATAAGAAGAAAGAAGATGGTGGTGGACTTGGTAAATTATTAACTTCTCCAAATCAAGGGATTTTATTTCAAGATTTATGTTTGAATCTTTCTCTGAATTTGAATGGTGGGGTTGAAGTCATTTCTAATATATTGGCAGATCATGGAATGAGGGAACATAAAGAAATAAAACCATCGTTGACTGGGAATAATTTGATAAAATTGCTTATTGAATGTAAGATTGAAAATGAAACCAGAACTATTTTGGTTGCAAATAAAACAAAAGATACAAAATTGATAAAAGAATTTAAGAAATTGATTAAGAATGGAATTGTTTTAGAATGGGATTGGTTTGTTAAATCAATCTTTAAGATGGAATTACAAAGTTTAGATCAATTCAAGCTATAGTTTAGTAGTGATAGTAGTCGTAGTAGTAGAGAATAAGAATTCCAATGTAAATATCTAATTTATTTAGTAAAGAAAAAAAAAGTACAAAAACTAAGGTATAAAAGAGAGATAATTAAAACATAAAATAGAAAGAATCTGGGAAAACAACGTAAATACCTAAATATCTATCAAACTCTGACCTTCATTTGGTCTTTGTTGGACAGACTGAGCATTTCCAAATCCATATCCAGTGTAAGCGGTATTTATTTGTGGATGTGCTTGTGGCTGCTGTTGTTGTTGTTGATAACTTACACCAGTATTAAGGAAAGGGTTCCCAGTAGCATTAGAACTTAATCTAACTTGATTATCTTGTTGTTGTTTGTATCCTGTACCACTTGAGTTGATGAAGGTTTGAGTCTTGGTATGTTGATGAGGGATTCTGGTTGCACCTGTATTACCAAAAGTATCAAGTCCAGTACCTTGGGCTAATAAATCATTAAGTTCATGTGTATCATTGTATCTTGATGATGGGGCTGATTGTTGTAGTTGTTGAATTGGCTGTTGTTGCTGTTGGGGTGGGGGTTGAGTAAAGAATTGTTGTTGTTGCTGGGCCAAGGCATCTAAAGTTGGGTTTCTATTTGGAGATTGGGTAGGTTCAGAAGAAGATAACGCAAATGGGTTATTAGATCCGGTCTTTAAAGGTTGTAATTGTTGCTGTTGTTGTTGAGGTTGTTGTGGTTGACCATAATTGAATCCAGTAAATTGATTAGGATTATATTGTGGTTGTTGTAGTTGCTGTTGTTGGAAGTAAGCTTGTTGTTGATACATTCCAGTGTCCATTGAATTTTGTATTGGATTTCCAAACATGTCATATTGTTGCATTTGTTGAGCTTGTGGATAGAATTGTTGTTGTGGTTGATAAAGACCAGTCGCAAGGTAGTATTGAGGTTGAGGTGGTTGCTCATCATTTAAGTCAAGTAAATTATGATTCTGTTTTCTCATTTGCTCTTCTTCTAAAGATAACTGAAGAGCAGCTTTTAAGTCAGGATCTTCTTCATCTTGCCGCTTACGACGTTCTTCTTCTTCAGCTGTAAGTTTTGATAATTCGAGTGCCTTTTGTAAGTCCGCATCATAAGGTTCGTTTCTTCTCGAACGGTTCGTATCCAGTCTTGGTCTTCTTCTTTCACGTGCATTGCTTTCACTTAGGTCATCGTTGTCGACACCGCCTCCTCTCCTGGCTGCAATAGCTCTTTCTTGCTTTAATCTTTCATCATCTTGTAAAAGGGAAACCAATTCCTTTGCTTTAACTCTGATCAATGCACCTTGATCGTTTCCTGCATCATCAAAGTGAATAAATTCTCTCAAAGTTTTAATAATGTAAAGATTATCTTTTGCCCATAATACACATCTTTCTGATCCAAATCTTACTAAATAATCTAAAACTGTAAGGGATTTAGCGACATGTCTCCAGTTCTTTCCCTTATCATTAAGACGACGATCTAACATATCCATTACTTCTAAAAAGCTTGTTTGAGATTCATAAGTGCATGCAGAAATTTCTTCCATATCATACCTGGTAGGTCCAGTAGGGTCATTTGAAGTTGCTTTTCTTACAAGCACTTGAGCGGAAGAGTATCCGTTTGCAACATTCTTTATGGAACGAACTATTCTTGACATATTATGTTGTTTGATTGATTAGAGTATCAATTGGGTGTGGTGTTGAAATTGATTATTAAAAAAAGGGGGGGTGGTAGGGGAGAGTTTGATTTGTATGAATTTGTGAAGTCTCGGGATTTTGATAACAAATTAACTTTTGTATTTTAAAAGTAAAGTTAATTTCAAATGATGAGTTTGATTGACAACTGAAAGTTGATTCGTTCTTTAAATTTCACTTTAGAAATGTGACGTTGTATGTTCCGAATCGATTAGAAAATGATTAAGCTCTTTGCTTCGCGGAAGAGGAGGAGGAGGAGAAACAGAAATCGTCGAACAGAAAAAAAACAAAAGAAATTAAACACCGGACACATTTCCTAAGACTATATGCAGGCAACCGAATTTTGGGTGCAAAATGTTTGTAATTACATGTAAACTTGTTACAACTTGGTTGAAACGAAATATTGTCATTAATAATCATAAATCTAAATAAAAAGAGAATAGCTACTTATTGAAAATAAATACCAACACTCAACAAAGCGAGCCAGATAGTCCAACTAATATTAGGTTCTAAACGTGCACTGAAACTAGTTGACTCCTCGTCCCTACGTGGGAATGATATTAACAGTTGTTCAGAAACAACAGAAGGACCACTTCCATAGAACACTGTGTCATCATTGGTTAATCCGTCAGCAGTAAAGTTGACCTTCACGGTAACTTCTCCTTCGGCAAGGGAACCATCCCAACAATATCTTTCAAAACATTGCTTACATTGTTCTGACTGTTCGATATCTCTCCTTTCTTCTTCTCTTCTTATCATCGCACATCCAAGACATGCTTTAAACTCGGGATCAATTGTTCCGTTCAACCTAGTGGCAACTTCAAATCCATTCTTGATTAATCCTTTCCTTTCTTCATCTGAATATGACAATCTGTAAGTACTTACATTAGAATAATATTCATAAGGTCTATTGGGGAAATAAACCAATAAAGGTGGAATAACTCCATCCTTAGTCAAAGCAGTCAAATTCTTAGCATCGCATCCAAAGAATGTGGGTTTAGCAGTAAGGTTTTTCTCAAGGAAAGTTTGAGTGTCAGGAACATATGGACAGACAACGGAATTACCTTGTTCAGAAAATTGACGTTCATAACTAGAAACTAAGGCTATTCCATCTGGCCAATTGATTGCATTGTCATTGGAATTGTCAAAAGCAAACACAACATCCATCTTTCTTTCTTTGATCATTAAGGTCGAAAGTGGAATCACTTCCCCAGCAAGACCTCCATCCATTAAATATAAGGTATCACTTGCCGAAATATTATCTGACTTAGTAAACTCTGATTCATAAAATGGATTAGGTTTATATAGGGCGATATCTTCATAAGTACTTGATAAGCCATCAAGGAACCTCTTCAAGACCCACTTGACAATACCATTTAACGAATCACATTCATCACAAACAAGGGTATTTAAAAACATATTGAACAAAGAAGCTGAAGTTCCCATTGCAAAGGCAGCATTGTCAAATCCCTTGACACATTCTCCAAGAGGTTTCCCATTGCTGACATTTGTTCCCAAGTACATAATATCTGTAAAACTATTCAATGATGGATCAAAAGATCCAAATTCAAACGGATTCATTTCGACAACAGTTGAATTTAAATTGTATACCACGGTACCTGGTTTTCTTCCTAGTGCTGTAATAAATGGGAAAGGCATATCTTGATTAGCAAAGGCTTCCATGTTTCTAATATCACTCCAAGTAGCAGAACTATAATAATTATCATCGCTAGGAAATAATTGATGGGCTGAAGCCCTACCCCAAGGATCAGTTACCGAAGTTGGAAACCCAGCAGCTTCTTTCTTTTCAAGATCAAATTTAATCCCATTTTTATCATTATCCCAAAATTTTAAATAAGCTAACACCCCATTTAAATTCTTAAAAAGTACTGGGAATACAATAGTCCATAACCCCTCTTGCCTGACTACTTGTTGAGTTTCATTGAGATTCCAAAGAATTTGGTTTGTTCCATCAAACACAATTTCTTCAACTGTGGTCCAGTTCTGTAATGCAAGCGAACTCACGAGCCAACTAGACCCAGACAAACCACCAATGTAATTTGCACTTTGTAAAATCCCACCAAAATTTCCTTCAAATGAAGTTCTGCTATCTAATGCTAATAAAGAACCAGCTCCGTTTAACATTGCTCGATATCCACCTCCGGAAAATGCTAATCCGAGATTTACCCCATCTTCAGAATCTTCCAAAAATTTATCAACGTCGAGATTGGTCATATTGGCACTCTTAAGGAAATCTGATAATGCTTGTTTAGTTTTAACTTTTCTCTTCTTCAACCAATCAGCTTCTTGGTCTGAGATTGAATTTCCTTCTCTTAAAAATGTCCCTTTTGCTAACGCAGGGCATTCTGCGGTGTATGGTGCATATCCATTACGTTCGGTGGCTGCTAAAACTAGCGACAAGCCCCAAATTAATAGACAAATACTGGTTTTCAACATATTGCTAAAAAGTTAGCCATCTGGAAGAAAATAGAAGACTAAACTTGAGATTCTCCTTCTTTGATGATTATTTATATAATCCAGGGGTGGGTTTAGGGGAAACCTTAATCTTTTTTTGAAATTTTTGGGGCAATTAGAATTGTTCGCACAACAACAAATTTGGGTTAAAAACATTTCCTAAACAGGAAATTAACAAGAAAAGACGAAGTTTCACCCACCCGGCACCAAAAATTTTGCGGTTGCATTGGCATTTTATTCTTTGTCTTTGGCGGATATAAATCAATCTTCATTGTCTCTCGAGGCATTCAATGTTTGGCTTTTTCCAATTAGAGTCTCGAGAATATATAAGCCGCCAGTTGATCAAGCGTCCAAAATGTACACCAACCAAACAGGAATGGTATGAATACATTTAANATATATAAGCCGCCAGTTGATCAAGCGTCCAAAATGTACACCAACCAAACAGGAAGGGTATGAATACATTTAATAAGCTTCTTGTTTACCCAAGGAATCTAAGGATTGCAATAGTCAATCCCTTAATCAGTTTAAAAATGTGACTTCATCCCTTGAACTTACTGTATATTGCGGAAGCTAAGGTTTTCTAACCTTGTTTAAGGTTTCGCGATGCACATCTTGTTTGTAATTCGACCTACTTAAGCGACAAAATATCGAAGGTCTCTATCTCCCTTACTTTCCTTTGATTCCTTGCATATTGCTAGAGTACTCTCATTGAAAGGGGATGCTGAAGTTGATAGGGATAGCAAATATTCGTGCACCTGATCATCCCCATTTATCGCTCTTCTGTTTGTTCTTGGCATCTGGCCGGGTAATCCTTTATTTAACCGGGTAGCGCCTACTTCACTTTCTCTGAGTTACCCGGACATGGTATGCCTTGAATTAGCTCTTACTAAGTCGACGTAAGATCTGGATGTTTGGGAATTATTGTTGATAGTTGTGCTATTCAAGTTTTGGTTTGTTGTGTTCCTGCCACGGAGCTGACTATAAAATCCAAATTTTCAACCAGTTTCTCTTGTCCACATTTGCAATCTCAATTGAATTCACAAAACCTATGCTTTAGTATGATGACATCAAATTATCGAGTCTGTAATATCGTTTTATATCAAGCCTATTTGTGTGCCAGTAATCTGTTCTTAATTTGGTACTCCCTGTTAAAGTCGGCTTGATATCAGGCTCTTGATCATTTACAATATTTGCAAAACTTTAAAGTGAAGTATATACACTACCATCGATGGATCTGTCTCTGGTTTACAATCTTTATTTGACGGGCATTGTCTCGTCCTGACTGATTGAGTATTTGGTCGGGGCACATATGTTGTTCCAGTATCCGCGTTTTGAAAAAAAGAATGGCTGCAACTTTTTTTTCAATGGTTGCAAAATTTGAACTCTTAACCTCACCTTACCTGTCCCTATTTGGCTCTCAGTACTATAACCTTTGCTTCTGTTCATCTTTGTTAAAAGCCTAATGAATCTTTTGAATCTAAGTACTAAGTTTCACCCATTTAGCAAATTTATTTTGTAAGTGCACGTGATTTGGATTACGTAATCGGATGAATTAAGAAAAAAATTTTCACTGGAAAAAAAATCATCAATCTAGATAATGACATCTTGTTTATATTCGACAAGGTATCAAATTGAATCCATCAATAAATCATACGTCTATCTATCCAAAGATAAGTGACTTGTTCTAGACTGCTATCAAATCATCAAAGTCTCGATAACAGTTCAATAATTTTCAATCAAGATCGATATTTTTTTTTCTTCAGTTCGCAAACCTTCGCAGTTGGAAAAAAGAGTTATCAAAGCCTATCCAGATCAGAGCATACTGGGCATTAATAGATCCATTTATTGATTCGAAATAACCCCCCAGGTTTCAAGAGGAGATCCCTATTACTTTAGTAAGCATTTTTAGTGAAATTTAATTACATTTAGTTTGGCATTTATTTATATCCACATTTCCCCCCAACAGAGATTCAAACAAAAAACAAGAAATCATGTCCACCGATGTTAGAAGATGTCGTCGTTGTAAGCGTAAGAGACTCGATGACGAGCCTATGGAAGTCAGGCAATACAGAACATGTGCCAAGTGTCGTATTATTGAAAGAAATAAGAAAAAGCTGAGAAAACCATTAGCTGAAGAAACAATGCTTTATGGATTAAAACAATTTCGTGAACAAAGTTTAAGTGATAATTTCATGGAAGAGGAAGGATTACTAGATGATGAATATTTTCGTCAATTCCATAAGAAGCCATTTAATTATGAAGCTGAAATCAATCGTGTCTTAACTAATCCTAATTATGTACCGCCTATAATTGATGAAGCTCGATTATTGCAGAAGGATACATCTGGTTCACATGAAATCTCCTCTAAAATTCAAATAAAACCAGTTAAACCACAGCAACAGAATATTTCAATCCCGGAAATTACTGTACGTCAACATAAACCAAAGAAGCATGAAATTGTCCATCCTCAAGAAGTAGTTAAGGACGATGATATTTTTGAAGAATTGGCTGAATTAGGTAATGAAGAAGAATTGACGTCTGATATTACTGCTTCACAAGCTATTGTTGATCCTTACTTGTATGGAAATGTGTATGATAACTTCCAGCAATACTTGTTAACCGTATTTGAAAAACGACAAAATAAAGAGGATATCAATAATTTAGTATTCTTGAAGGAATTCAATGAGGACTTTACACTGAATATGGCAAAATTCGATGCACATTCGAGAGATCGTCTGCCAGTAATGTTGAATGCTAAGCTTAATGAAAGACAAGTAAGACTTCATTTGTTGAGTAATTTGAAGGCATTATATATTGATCCAATAATTGCAGTTATGAATATCAGGTATCATCAAGAATCTTCGAATATTAATGACTTCAAATCCACTAATTTTATAAAGAGTTGTCATAGGTTTATTTCTCATGAGAAGTTCAATTCTGCATCGGAAGCAAGAAAGATCAAAAGTTCTACTATCTATTTAACTTTCAATAAGAAGTATAATCTATTGGTGGTAAAGCTTAGTCACTTAATCTATAGACCAAGTGGCATTAAATACACAGGTGAGTTTAAGCTGAAAATTCAAGATATTTTTAAGAAGTTGCAATTTGAAAAGGAAATGTATAATTCAAAATTAAAGGATACTAAACTTGATTACAATGAAACTACAGCAAATCTAATATATGATAAGCTTTTCTCATTGCTTGATTTATGTTCTGATGAATTACAAGAGTTTATAAAGAAATTGGACAAGGATGATTTCATTCGTGATTTCATTAACTTTGAAGATGTCTTCAAATCTGGTACTGAGTCCGATGAAGAAGGTGAAGCTGAGAATGATGAGGCTGCGGATGAGCCAATGCCAGACGCTGATGAAGGAGTCCAGAGTGAGGATGAAAACATGGATGCGGTGAATGATACTTCATTCACAGAAAACACATATTCTGAGATTAAAAAAGAGTCAACTGCTGAGGTATTAGATCCAGTATTGAAGCCTGAGTAGCTTTTAGGTGATTATATATATAGCGACTGTATAATTATGATACGAAATAGGAAAGAAAACGCATTTTTTTGACACATTCTCTAGTTGCGCTTATTCATACGTTTACCTACATAAACTTTTAAGACGCGCGATTCATAGTTGTCTCAGAGGAATTATAAAGAAAGTATTGAAAAGAGACCATCTTACCAAGCTCATTGTACAATTGAGCTATGAGCTTGGCAATTTGATGTCAGGGGTAACCTAGGGATCGAAGCCAAGAACATCCGGTTTGTAAATTATTTTTTCTGGGCCTGGAACACTTCTCTTTGTATTTGCTAATATTAAATTTATTTTAACCCTTTAAACAATCTAAATTAAGAAAATTGAAATTTTCCCCTGCGAGGCTCAATCTCATTTCTTACACAATCCTTTAATTGGTAAACTACTTAATTATAATTACTAAGTTACAAAAGTAGACTATCACTAAAAGACATGAGACACTTCAGCTCTATTGGGTTGTCTCTACTATTGACAATCAATTTTGCCAAAGCAGTTTATTTAAACACAAACAATGATACAACAATTAGAGAAGATTGCAATTTATATGCTCAAGGGTTATTGGACTACTATGATGGTTACAAATATGGAGGTGTTATAGGTATGTTCACTTATCCATATTATTGGTGGGAAGCAGGTGGAGCATGGGGATCCCTTATTGATTATACTTACTTCTTTGAGAATGATACATTTGTCCCATTGATTAAACAAGCTTTAGAATATCAAACAGGGGATGACAATAATTATGTTCCTTTAAATCAATCAACTACAGAAGGTAATGATGATCAAGGTTTCTGGGGTCTTGCTGTTATGAGTGCAGCGGAAAGAAATTTTAGTAATCCTGAAGATCCTGCTAAGGCTTGGTTAACTTTAACCCAAGCTGTGTTTAATACAATGACTGCAAGATGGGATTATAAAGATTGTAATGGTGGATTGAGATGGCAGATTTTCCAATGGAATTCAGGTTATGATTATAAGAATTCTGTTTCTAATGGATGTCTTTTCCATATTGCTGCAAGATTGGCCAGATACACCAGTAATGATACTTATGTTGAATGGGCCCAAAAGGTTTGGGATTGGATGTATGGTCTTGGTTTATTGACTGAGGGTGATTGGTGGTTTGTTTATGATGGTGCTAATATTGCAAACAATTGTTCTAACATTACTAAGTATCAATGGACATATAATCAAGGTTTAATGTTTTCTGGTTGTGCATATTTATATAACTATACTGAGGATGAAAAATGGTATAATTATACTTGGAAATTATTAAATTCTGCAAGAGTATTTTTCAAAAATATTTCGGGAAGTATGGTTATGTATGAAGCTGCATGTCAACCATCTAAAACCTGTAATAATGATCAAAGATCTTTTAAAGCATATTTTTCCAGATTCTTGGGTATGACGTCAGTGTTGGTACCAGATACAGAACCAATGATTACTAAATGGTTGACTGATTCAGCAAATGCTGCTGCAGGGTCATGTTCAGGTGGTTATGATGGTCATACGTGTGGTTTGGATTGGACTAATTGGACTCAAGGTTGGGATGGAATGTATGGTTTAGGTGAACAAATGTCTGCATTAGAAGTCACTCAGAACTTGATGGTCCATAAACGTCCTCCACCATTTACCGCAAATACAGGTGGTAGTTCTGAAGCTAATCCAGCTGCAGGTTATGGATCTGTGACTACTGAAACACCCCCTTTGAAGATTGGACCAGGAGGTAAGGCAGGTGCAGGTATTATAACTGCGATAGTTGGTGTCTCTCTAATAGGTGCCTGTATTTGGTTAGTCTTATAAACCGGTTTTTCCTCTGATCTATAGACCTTTTTGCTAGGTTGGGGTTGTTTTTTGTATCATAGTTAGTTTTGAAGTTTTTTTACGAGTTTATAAACGCTCAAGAAATGTACGTTATTTTGTATTCGTCTAATTTGTGATTAGTTTGTGTCACATATTCGAACTCTGAATATCGGCTTAAATCCCCGGGGTTATTGAATTGTTTTACAATTCCACGCTCTTATAAAAAAGTGGTCATGCTACTTCTCTTATTATATGCTCATTCGTCAATGAAGAGTAACAACCTTGATTCTCCCTAATTGGGGCATCGGATGGCTATGTATATTAGCCAAGCCAATCGCTTGCAACTACTCTATAAACTTGTAATTTGGAATTTAACTAGCTAAATTTTGGTATGAGTGTTCATACACAGCCTATGAAATCTATTAGATAAGGCTAGAGTATCGTTCTATGTATCCCGAAGCTTCCAGTCATCTTTGGTGAATTCTCCATATTCAAAATTCCGTAGTTAATTTCTCGTTCTCGAGGCTGCTACAAAAACAGCAACAAAAAAAAAGAATATCAACAAAGATAACAAAAGGTCACTTGGTTACCCATAACACTTCCCATATCTACAGCCACATCAATTATGAGTTCAGAAGACCAATTCACATCCATCCAATGGGATAGAGATGAAGTGAATAGACCATCTAATGAATATACCCAATTCAATCTGATTGAAGAAGAAACCGAACAACGCTCAGATAATCCTCCCGATACAGAAGCAGACAACGCCACCATTAATAATACATTAGCAAGCAATAAAGCGGAATCAGAAGCTCATGCTGATCATGCTGATAATGTTAAAGATTCTCCCAGTAATTCATTGTTATTATCCCCCGAGAATAATACTCTTTCTGCTGGGGTTGAGGCAATCTCTCAAAACGAGCCATCTGCGGGGCCAACAGTGTCTGCACCAAATTCTGATACACCAATTGAAAGTACTAGTCAAGCTGCTCAACAGATACTTACTACGGGCTTACCACCAATGGATACTTCGCAATTTGATGAGTATCTGATTAAGACGTCAGTTTCCAATCCTAGTAGAGATTTAGATGCTGCCTCGAAACCATTCATATCATATCTTGTTACAACCACAACTGATCATCCTTCAGTATTAAAATTATCCAATGAAAAGAAACCAAACGAAGGTGAGAAATATTTAACATTCTCCGTTAGAAGAAGATATGGCGATTTCAGATATTTGTATGAAAGTTTAAATAATGATTTTCCTACTGTAATGATCCCTCCATTACCTTCAAAGCTGAATTTCAAATATTTGACAGGTGATACTTTCAGTTCTTCATTTGTAAATAAACGTTTGCATTCACTTGATCGATTTATTAGATTCATTTTACAACATCGTGTGTTGTCTCAACTGTCTATTTTCCATTTATTTATTAGTAATTCCAATGATTGGGCCACTTTAACAACATCACTAAAAATAAAAGATATTAATTATGATGATAATAGTGGCGGATTTGTTAATAAGGTTGTAAATGAGGATTTGATAACTGAGACTGTTATGAACTTTTTGACTCCTTCGAAACATAAACGAGAAACGAATAGGGATATATTAGAAATTAATGATAAGTTGAAAAAATTATATGAAAACTTGCTTAAGTTGGACAAGATCTTTGTTAAATTGAATAGAAAGAACCACGACTTAAGTACAGAGTATAATCTTTTCCTGACTCAGATAATCAAATTAGCTTCTGTTCAACAATCAGGTACAAATGCTGAAAATGAACCAGCAAAGATTGTAAAGAGTGAAGAATCTGTTATTGACAATTTCAAAACATTTGCAGAATCGTTAAATTATTTCCTGAAATCTTGGGGTGAATTATACAAATATATGGATGAATCGTTTTTAGTATCACTTAAAGATTGTGCCAAGTATATTGTCAATTTAACAAATTTAATTGAATTGCAACATAATAAGAGAATTGATTTACAAGTGCTACAGGATTATTTGAATAAGACACGAGCTGAATTGTCAGGAATGGGTGGCTCTGTTGATGGTCCTTCCAATCGTCCTCCTCCGAATCCAGTTATGAGCTACCAGAGTGGAGGAATAGTAAACAATACCACTCAGTTGATTAAGGATACGTTATCAACATCAGCAACTCCTCATATTGGATCCAATGCTACTGACAACAAGATGCATAAGCTCGAAAATAGAGTGCTTCAATTAGAAAATGAAATTACTATGCAAACAAAATTAGTTAATGATTTAACAAATAAAATTATTACAGACGAGTATCCAAACTGGGACAGATTTAATAAAACTGAATTGAAGAGTTCGATGCTCGGTTTGTGCGATGAACAAATTAATTTCTATAAAGGGTTAATAGATAAATGGGCAGATGTTGAAACCAAGCTAACACAAAGGCTAGATGGGTTAAAATAGGTTACATTTTCTTCTAATATTTATAAATAAATTATATTTGTATATTAATCTCTATAATGGTATTATACTAATAAATGGAATTATGATTTTTTTGAGATTGAATATACGCTTTCAAAGTTAGGATCCTCTCTTACTTCAAAGTTTGTTTCCTGATCATACAATTGATGATCAATATTCCACTCATCTCCTAATTCTTTAGCAAGATATGAAACGACTTCGTCACAGTATCCAAGCAAACTGAGATCAAAATCTTTATCAGGGATTGCGTCCTTATTTATAAGAATTCTAGGAACCCGTCTAGGGATTTTATCTATAATACTAGCAACTGGTTCAACTTTTAACGATGTCCCCACAACCAAAACTAAGTCGCAAGAACGTACGTCTCTGCTCAACGTTGAGTAATATCTTTTTGGCAAATCCTCTCCGAAAAAGGTAATATCTGGTTTGATTACCCCATGATTCATGGGTGCCTCTCCCGTATTTTTCCAACACCGAGCACATCTAGGAATCTGTTGATGACGAATATGTCTCTCTATTTTACGTCCCGAGTATTGGGACAAGCATGTAATACACGTAGCATGAGTGAATGATCCATGACATTGAATGAGCTTTTTATGTTCAATCCCGGCACGTGCTTCGAGATTATCAATATTTTGGGTATAATTTCTTAGTAGTTTATTCTTATTTTGAAGCAAATTGAGAAATGCATGCATGATTGAGTAGTTTTTATCTGGTGGTAAAACCATATGTGCAATTGAGTAGAAAATACGTGGGTCTTTCTTAAAAGTCTCCATATCGAATACCTTTTGGGGATCTTCCACGTTCAATCTAGATAATTGTGTGTATAAACCTTGAAATGATCTAAAATCTGGTATACCTAACGACGTGGAAATACCTGCTCCTGTTATAACAACAATCCTAGAAGACCTACGTAAATCTTGCAAGAGATCCTTAATGTTGTAATTATCTTCGTCTTCTGATGGAACGTCAATAACCATATCTGAGTCAGAATCTTGCGAAAGATCTTTAGAAATTAAATCAATTAATACTTTAATAGTCTCATTAATTGTAAGATGTTGGCAATCTATGCTTTCTTTAGGATAGCCTAGATTAATGATCATTTTGCAAATGTCAAACTTATTCATTGTATCTGGAATATAACGCTCTAAAAAGCTCATGGGACCTTCCTTTTCTAAATGTTCTCTGTACTCGGATTGTAATTCTAGATCTGGCTCCATTCTATCAAGGAATATTGATTGGGAGAAATTACTATTGTCGGTAAGTGGTTCTATAGATCCAGCTGTATATTCACCATCCTCGCTGGAGCTGGCTTCCGCTTCCGATCTGGGACTGAAAGAAGACAATTCGGAAACACGTTCATCGATAGTATCTGCATTTTCTTTGGAAATTGATTTCGTGGTTTGTGATTGAATATTCGAGATATCTGTAAGTGGAGCTACCATTCCTGATTCCAAAGGTTTCGTGCGCGTTAAATCAATTTCTGCAGCGCTTGACATAAAATGATTTTCTTTTTGAGCAAATTCTGCACTTTTTTCCTCAGATGTAGACTGAACCAGGAATATATTGGACGTATTGTCTATTCCCGGGGGCGCCTTCGAGAGGGTGTTGGCGGCACGTATCTGTTCTGGAATGGGTGGTGGCAACGCGATTTGATTACCTGTATTCTCGCTGTGTTGATTGGATGAGACATACATCGGGTTGCGAGAACTGGAGGGTGATAGCCTTCTTGCGCTATCTGCTTCAATCCTGAAAACTGAATCATGCAGAGGTCTTGGAGCATGATCAGTATGTTCACCCACTTTCTTCCCGATTTGATCTCCATGGTGGTTCTTTTTTAAGTCATGCATGTCTCGCGTAAAACCGAAAAGGGGACGACATTCTGAGCAATAGTTGAATATTCCACTGTCTTTATTTAGTATATTTTTCCTACATCCTTGGCATATCGCAAGTTCAGCCTTGTTCTTTCTTTGGAGCTCTCTATGTTGATGAGAAGAGAGTCGTCCACGTTGACGACATCCTCCGCACCACTTGAATCTTCTGGCTAAGAGGGGCTCATCATCTGGCCTCCTCTTTTGACATCTCACACATATCCTTACTCCAGTATTAGGGCGCTCCTCGTAATGCCTTATGATATTTTCAGTACAGCTTTGACATGTGTTGTACTCTTTAATTTCCTCTGGTTCGTCGTCCTGCCTCTTCTTTCCACATTTCGAACATATCCTAACTCCAATACTATAAAACCCCTTGTAAGCCTTTTTTATTTCTTGTGCTTTCTGTTTCTGATGGAGTCGACACTTTTTGCATGTTTTAAACTTTCTAGACTCGTCTGGTTCGTCAAGCGGCCACTCGCGTTTGCATTCGGAACATTTCCTAACTTCAGTAACGTTCATATTTCTTGGAACTAAAAATTTAACAAGGTAAAGGGAAGCAATGCAACAAGTCTCTAGTCGTACAAAAGGCACAGTATTTTGGAACTTTTAAAAAGGTGTATTGTGTTTACTACAAAGTTCACACTCGCTATTTCTTTTTTTTTTTTTTTGATTGTTTCTGTTGGAACGAGAGCCATACGGGAAATAGAAGTGAACTGGGTCGGTAGCACAAAAAAGCTTTTTGCAATGACCTGCATTGTTGAATTTCTTTTCGCGTTTATATACAAGTTTGAATTTAATGGATCCCTTTTTTTTTCCTTCTGTCGCAAGAAAGATTTCGCATTTGGAGTTCTTGAGAGTTTTCTTTTTTATTGGTACGGCGGACCCTTTTGAGCACCTACTTGGTACGAGAGAAATTCTTGCAAGATAAATAAACTCTTAACCCGAACATGATACTAAAACTGTAATCCAGAGTGTTTATTCTATTTCTGATAACTTCTGACTCTTTTGTGCCAATAGTAGAAGCATGATTTGTAAGTTTTTGTTTCAAGAAACAGTAGGAAATGAGACGCGCACCTCATCTTAAAATTTTTCTAGGGCCGGGTAAGCATGTTGCAGGAACTACCTACAAGGAAGTACATTGTCATTAATTGTCTCTACGTGTAAATCAATATATCCAACACCTGTAGGAGTGAGAAAAAAGGAGATACAAAGTTTGAAGGAATCAAAGCCAAATAGCTGTTTTCTATGTCGTTGACTGTTATTGGTGTGAAAAAGCCAAAGGTTATATACAGGAACAACTTTCAAAAACCGGGTAATATTTGTGAGCAATTTCCCAGATAGAATTTACATAAGTTAAGAATTGATCAAATCCACATTAGCGATATGTCGACGACGTAAATATAAAAATTGAACTAAAACTCCAGATTCATCCATTGGTGTATATGGGGTAAATTCATACTCCTAAATGAAAATCTTACTGGTGCGTATGTTGCTCCTAATCCAGTTGCAGGAGGCATTCACTTCACTAGTGAGAATTCACTGACAAACTGGCTGCAGGTTGTCTTCCTTCAGCAAGATATGCCACCCGTCGAATACGTCCCTGAGAGGCTTCGCAAAGACACAACTCTGTCGGGAAAAAAATACGGACTCCTTTCCTGATGTAATAAAAGTTGATTTGTCTATAAAACCTATACAAACTATTCTCACTGGCTATTTATTGGTTATTTGGATTTCCTTACTTTCATTCCTTATACTTATCATGTTTAAGTCTTTCGTCGTTACTATGATCACTGACGTTGTCTTCTTCCTCGTCTTCTCCCAATTCAAATAATGTATTTCCTTCATCGTTAGATCTACTTGATCCGGCAACCTCTCCACCTGCAACCATAGCATAATCAGGAGGTGCATCGACATCCTTTTTAGAGAACTGCGGTTGATTTTCGGATGGAAGTTCAAAACTATCTCTTTCTACATTTCTTCTATTATCTCCTGCTGCTTCGTCATCACTGTGACTCATTAAAGATAAGTCATCTAATTCAAATTCATGTCCTTGTTGTCCCCCATTAGGATCGTTGTCGTCGACATCTTCTCCAGTTGATAATTGTTGGGAAACTGCTAACATGTAACTAGTTTCAGTTGGTCTCCATAACCAAGCAATGGCCATGAATACAAGGAAAAATACGATACTTGGCCAGAAATCAAACATGAAAAATGATCCTTTCCAATGTTCCTCGAACATTTCCGTGGTAGACATACTCAAATAGACAAATGATGATATAGTCAATCCAAAAAATGTCAATATAACTGCAGCAAACATAATTCTGAATAAGTTTTGATATAATTGTAATTTGATAATTTGTCTTTGTTTATGTAAATTCTGAGTGGTGGTTCTAATTGCTGATAATACGGTCACGTAGTAAATACATAACGTAATTGATATTGGGATTAAAGGTAACAATGCAACAAAACTACCTGTATCGGTATTCTCGAGATCTGATGATGCTGCAAGTGCATTGGATGAACCAGAAAAGTAGCTATTCAAAAAGTAAATCATACAAGCAACAAAATTACAACCAGCTAAAATTTTACAACGTAACATTGTCTTTTTATCTAATTTCAAGACAACAACACCATATCCAAGTGAAATACATAACAACAAGAAAAATGAAAATGTAATCTTAATTGAATTCAATAAAGTAATGAAAAACATGTAAAACAATGCAAATGCAGAACTTGGACTCTGAATTCTATTGACTAAATCAAAATATGACCAAACAACAAGTGTATCGAATGTTAAAAAAGCAATCATTGCTAACAAATATTTTTGCAATGGTAAAATTTGATTCTCCTTTCTCTTCTTAAAAAATTGGAAACCAAATAAAGCTAAAGTAATTGCATAACATATGGTCAAAATAGCATATGCAGGTAATTTGAGTATTTCACTTGCACTCAATTGACCAAATGCATTTTGGAAATTGATTGTTCCTTTATACTCTGCCTTTGCAATGGTGGAAAATGTGGACACACAATAGTAACCAGTTTCGTTGATTGGATAATGTATGGCTGCTGCTCCTAATTGCGGTATTTTCGCTGTCAAGATAGTATTATTGGTTGCCCCTGGTTTCACGATAAATAATCCCAATTGGGATTTGTCACATAAATTATTCTTAACAGCAAAATCATCGCAAATATATTTATATTTGTTATCACCCAAATAAACTCCAATATTTGGGAAATCTCTAAATTCGAAGATAATGAAACTTACTGAGATGTCTCCATCTACTTTCTGATTCTTGTCTTTTGGATTGTATACATTTTTATTGAATTGCTGTAAGGTCATTCCAATGTGTGGTTTAATTGATCCTCCCCAATCATGCTTGGAATACATACCAGCACAAATCTGGGAATATCTGTCATGATCAAACTTAACTAGGTTTGCAACTACAACCGATATAAGTATTGCAAATGGTATAAGACTGAGCTTCATCTTGTTTGGTTAATTCAAAAGAGTCAGATGATTTCAAATAACAAAAATGGAATACATAATTTAAATCCCAAAAAGGTTTGAAATTGAGAGAACATTCTTTTTTCCATTTCTCCCACAATTGCCGAAAGTCGCATTCTTTTTAAGCCTATAGAATGTCGTCTACTTTATTTACGGGGATTAATGTCGCACGCATAGTCTTCCGCTTATAGGATTTACATGTAAACTCCAACTAAACTAACTAACTAATTAAGTCTATTTAATCTTTTATATACCTGCCCAGACAGTACCTCCACTAGCATAAACAGTTTTAGCCAACTTATCTACTTGACTATCCCAATCAACAAGGTGATTGTATAAAGTCTTCACTTGATTCAAGTTTAAGATTCTTGGTTGAATCCAAGTAATAATCAAGAGTTCATCAATTTGATTAATGTATCCTTGGATTAACTTTAATGAAAAACACTTAATAATCAAATGCTCTACGTCATTTACTGGAGTACCAGTAAATTCGGAAATTTCTTTGAAAGATAACTGTTTATTGGTAGTAGGTTTCTTTGAAATTAATTCCAACAAGGCCATAATGATAATCTTTTGTTTTAAAAATAATTCATACTTGGTCAACATTGGTGATCTCTTAAATGCTACATCTAGCCACTTGTTGAATTCATGTAAATCCCCTGAATTCAAATTTTGGATCAAGTTATATAACCAATTGTATTGTGAAGATTCTTGGGAAATAACTTGTAAAATATCATGTAAAATTAATTCACCAAAGTTATAAATCTTATCACCTAACAAGGCAGCAACACATAATTCATAGCATACTTTGACCTTTTCTTCTTCATTCAAAGTAGGAACAGAAGAAAGGTATAATAATCCATTTGTATAATAATCATTATAGTTTTCAATTATCTTACAATATTCACATTTTGTTAAGTAGTATGCTGCATTAATCTTTTTATTCAAGTTGATATTTGATGATTCAAATTTCGGTGCTAATCTAGATAAGATTTCTTCAGATTCATTTAATTTATTTAAAATCAAATTATAACGAGCAATTTGCAAATCAATATAAATAATAGCTTCATCCTCATCTATCATCTGTTTATATTCTGGGTCATCTTCATCTTTGAAATTATGTTCCTTCTTGATTTGAGTTAAAAAGTCTTGTTTTAAACCAACAAGTTTTTCCAATGTTTCTTCAGATTTTACAAAACTTTCCAATAAAAAGTCAACAACTTTAATTGGATTCAATTTGGATTGGAATTGAGTAATGAATAATGAATATATCTTGAATTTCAATGTAGGCGATACGATTGATTTATCTAATGAATAATAAAATTCATCTAATACTTGAGTTAATTGATGCCATAATTTACGTTCATAAAAATCTTCCAATTGATAAAGAATATTGATCAATTCTGGGGCTTCACTTTCCAGTCTCAACACAGCCAAGACCGTTGACACGTCGTTATCTAAATCCATTGCAGACATCCTTATAATAATTTGTTGACTTTTTGGCTTGTTTCAAATCACACTTGATAGAAATTGAGAACAATTTTTTTTGTTGCCACTGATATTCTGAAAAATCTTGAAGACTCTCAACAAGATTTTTTGACTTCCTAAAACGGAAGTAAGTGTACGATATTCTTTACATTCGGTTCAAGGGTACGTCATTTATTTACTAAACAAACGCCCCCGTATAAACCAAGCTTTGTAGAGCCTATAAATAAATATATACCTACGTATGTATGCATGCATCTAACTAATTTCTTCATTTCCATCAGTTAAGAACTCTTTAAACTCTTGCCAATTAAGAACATTTTCTTCAAATAAATGCTTCCCATTCTTTATATAATTGATCATCAATACCAACCATTTCTTTTCAAGCTTTACAAGAAATTCTTCAAATGTATTAACCAATGCTTTGGTCAATGCTGCCATATCATTATTACATAATTCAATCAATTGATTCAATTTGTTTAATTCTTTTTCTATGTGATTTAATTTGAATTTTAATGGATAGTTTACTGCCGAAGGTGATGCAGGAGAAGTTCCAGTTCCGTTCGATTCTTGTTCTACAGGTAATTGGAAATTCAATTTCTTCGGTTGGTTATTGCCTCCAAATAATCCATACCAAGATGGCTTCTTCTTCATTTTCTTAATAGAAAGATTCTTTAATGCATTGTTTACGGTTGGACTATTCAATTCTTTCAAATGATCAAGCGTTTGTTGTATATCTTCTTCTGGATTAGTAACCTCTGATGATGAGCTAGCCGGATTGACTGCTGTGGTAGACCTGCTTCCTCCAATATTGGACATATTTATTAATTGTTGGAATTTATTAAATTTCAATTTGTATAGTATCTTAAATTGAATTATTTTGTATTTATAAAATTTAATTAAGTTCAATGATGTATGATGATATTGAATTAATTGATCTATTGGTTCCTGCCATTCAGGAATAAGATGGTTAGCGATAAAGCTTTCAAACGTTAAAAATGATTGATCTATAGTGGATCCAAACTTTTCAATCGATTCGGAAAGGGTATTATTTTCGTCATTTTGATGATATACTTGCAAAGAGAAATTATTCAAATTTCCACCAAGATCAATTAATATTGATATTAAATGCTTATAAGTTTTGGTAGTCTTCAGGTTTAGCTTATTCAAATCATTAAGTCCCTTGATAAGTTGATGAAACTTAACTTCAAATGAGATTAACTCTTGTGGTATAACAAACTGCAAATCTTGTTCAAATCCCTTTAATTCGTATAATTTCACCTGATCATTTAATTTGTACAAATCATCATTTATTTTCTTCAAGTTTGGTAGATTATCAAATTGTGAACTAAAATCAAACCCATTAACAATTGGTAATAATGAATACAACCCATTTTGATCCGCAGGATTCACCGGATTTGCTAATAATAGGTTATCTGGAATTAAATTGACTGGAGGTTCATTCAAGGCATTATACCAACATAATTCATAGTTTGGATCGAAAAATTTATGTAAAAGTAAACAATTCTTTAACTTTGGATGAGAATCAAAGATTAAATCATCTAGAAATAATTTAAAATATCTCTTTCTCATTTCTATAATATTAATTTCGTTTGAATTGTTTATTGAATTAATTAAATAACTTAATATGGAATGTTTTTCTGGAATTGGTGGGATAATCAAAGTCGGATACAATTTTAATAAATTATCTCGTAATGATTTAAATTCACTATATCTCCTCTTAACAATAATCTTATTAGAAAGCAGAACTGAAGATAGTTGTATTGTATATACAATCACTGAAGAATTCATCAATTTCTCTGAATTTATTATATCAATATGCAAATTATCATCATTGAGCAATTCTGATATTCTATTTGATAAGCCAATTGTACTATTAACTAACTCATTAGGAAACCCGGAATTAGCAGTTTCATGGAACCTAGATACCTGAGAACGTGATGGTGGAGCCAGTGGTGGACTACCTTGTTTCTGTGTGTTCTGGTGTGATGCATGTGGGGCTGAGTGTGGTGGTGAATGTCTATTGTTTATCGGTGGGGCTCCATATGGGTCATTTATAATTGAAGGATTCCCATAGAATGAAGGATTGTTGTCTTGTTCAATGTCTTCAAAAAGGTTTCCATGAGACATTGTTATTGGATGATGCTTTAAATAAATAAATTATAGAGAGTTTGCTTCTCCTTATGATGTAATCAACAAACAAACTGTGTGTGATTTGTGATAAAGTTTACAACAAAAAAAAATGATGGCGGTTTTACTGTCTTCAATTTGTAACGTACTGCATGCAGTGTCGTCAATTGCCTTGCAACGTCACATCTGGTAGCCCATTAGAATTTCAAGTTGTGCTGCTCTTCCGTGTAGTATTGGTGAACCAGTACCTTACAAGAATATGATCTTAAGAAGGACACGCCTAACTACAGCTTGATTTGATATTAAGTATACTAGAATTCTGAGACCAATTACCACAGACTGGACAACTAGCGAGTTTCAAGGTGATCTCTAATGTAGCCAAAGGCGACTGTAGTCAATTGGTTATTTCTAAAGTAATTTGTATTTAAAGCGGCCCTATCTTCTCAGGATAGAACTCTTTGAAACAGACTCTTTCCGATAAGAAGTTAGATATGGTTGCGAATTTTTCTGGCTTTTCTAGTTCCCCTCGGCGGATTTCGAGAGATACTAATATGACTAGATTGAAGTCACTAGATATCACGGGGGGCCAAGTAGCAGACGTTGTGTTTGAACACCGTATTTTGCTAGATTACAGTTGAAAATAATGTAGTGGTATCTCAAACTGAGATAGTAAATAGTAAACATCTGCTATCTTATCGATAGAAATTATTTAGAGAACGTTAAGGAACAAAGCATTCAAGAATATGATAGTTCAAATATAAGGATTATTGGATCATATACGCATGTTATTCCGAACTTAAAATAGACGAACTTTTCCCTGGTTGAAAGTTTAATTACTACTAATTTTTCTAATTGGAAATGTCAAATAAGCGCGATTTTCTTTCTATTTTTGGTTCCTATTGAAGTTCAATTTCCGGTTCTTAAAGGAAGGGTTGAATTTCTATCATTTTTATACTCACGCGATCATATCTATTTAAGCTATTCATTTTCTTGATTTCCCTTATATTCTCAGTTTATTGCCCGTATTTTTTAAAAATTAAGCGAAAAGACCAAAAACGTTAAAAAATAAAATGACCAAGAAAATAAACTCGAGGCATCAAATAACATGGTGAATCAGAAGCAGGAAGAAAATTTTCTTCTTATATACCATTCAGAGTCTTCTTCTGATTGCTTCATTTTGATTTCGGCTTGTATTTATACAACTAAACCTTAATTGCTGGCTTTGAAATACTTATCATTTGAGCAACCAAGTCCTACCAGAACCCAAGTTGCTGCAAATTTGAATATTTTGTTTGTTTAAGTTTTGTTTAAAGTGACACAAAAAATCAGATATGAGACATAGGAAGATACATATAATTATAATAGTAGTGTTCTTTCTAATACTACACTGGCTATTTGACGTCGTATGGAGGGGTCAGGGCAATTTGGTTTCCTACCTTCCATTTTTAAGAATGTTCCAAAGATATACATTGACTCCATATTATCAAGATTCGAAAACTAAGTTAGTAGTGGTACAAAAGGAATATGAGAATTCTTTTGATTCAAACAATCAAGTATCAAAGACCCCTTTTCAAAACAAAAATCTGCTCAGTGATGTTAGAATTATTGAAGGTTATAAATATCAAGAAATGTATGA